ATGTGCAACAGGATACTGAAATATAAGCGTATACATTTTTCGGTAATGTAAGGTAAGGTAAAAAGGTAAAGTTGTTTCTGTGCTTAACTAATTAAGCACTATGCCATGGCGGCGTATGGGGGAGTCAATTTATAGATCCACATTTTTTTGACCTTAGCACTAGCTGGAGGTGAATGGTCAGCTTTACGCACCGATCGCTTTACCCCTGGGGAAAGAACCTCCTGTATCCATTGGATAGGAGGTTGGGTGGACCCCAGAGCCGGTCTGGATGATGTGGAAAAGAGAAAATGTTTGACCCTGCCAGGACTCGAACTCATAACCCTCAGTTGTCCAGCGTGGAATCTGTCTCTGTGCCGATTGCGCTATCCCAGCTCATAAATTTTTAGGTCTGCACTTAAAATATAATTAGACTTCTATAATGAAATTGCCGCAATACTTAGGAAATGCGAAAACCCAGACTAAATTCATGAACTACGAGTATGTGATGCACACTTTGTGGGGAACAGACCCCCGTAATTTTAATGAGACTCTGTAAGGTATTTATAAGATCGAAGGTGGAATTTGGAGCATTTTTATTCCATAAACTTCAGAAGAAACAATTAAAGAAGCTAGACAAGGTACAATATAGGGCAATATGGGGAGCACTGAGCTAGAGGAGTAGCACCTCGCCCAATGTAATGCTAGCAGAAGCCAAAGAAATCCCAGTCTTTCGTAGATTGAAACAGTTTGGAAGAAACTATGTTTCCAGGTGTTGTACGTCAAGCAATCATCCAATGGTCCAGCTGCTGGAAGAATTATCAATTCTAGTCGATAACCTAGGGAGAGGAGAAAATGAACAGCCACTGATCAGCGAATATTACAAAGAGGTAACTCCTCTTGGTCATTTAATCCAATCAGGGGAGTGTCCCCTTCCCTTCAACTACACATACAGAAGCCTCTTCTGCGGGGCCAGGGTATCTTTCAGTGAGGGAAGACAAATAAAGGAAGCAGAGGATCATAACGAGGAATTAAAAATAATTCAATAAAAAATGAGAACCAGTAAATGTTTCATCACAGATGGCTCAGAAATGGACAACATATGATTTGTAGGTCTTGCAACGATAGATATAAGTGATGGTATAGCTGTAAATTCAGGTTAGCTAAGATAGCATCCACATTCACAGCAGTTGGTGGAACACTAAAACTCAATGAAGAAAATAGACTTGGAGCAAAATCTTGTGATTTCTTGGACTTGGAAAGCATGCTAAAATGAATTAGTAACACATCTACAATAAACAACACCGGCCATATTACTCAAATGCTTAAAGACAAAATAAAGTGGAATCACAAGGAGAAAAATCCAATATTACTGGATCCTAGGGAACTTTGGAGATGAAGTTAATGAGAAAGCTAGCTCAGAGGCGAAGCAGTCAGAGAGGTAGAGATGGTCAAGTACTGTTTACCAGTGGCAGATCTTAAAGCACAGTGGAAAAGAAAAAGACAAAGAGGAGCATCACAGTTTCTGTCAAAACACCAAAGAATGACAGAGGAGAAAGCTTCTTTGAAAGGCATCACGGGAATGGCTCATCTCCATGGTTCCGTGAGATAAATACAAACCATCGTGCCTTCGTGCCAATAAAGCATATAAGCAGGCCACTCCAGTCTTAAAGCAAGCTTAAGTAGATTTAACATTCTGTCCAAGGCTGAATGAGAATGTGGTGATGGACTTCAAGTGGAGGAACATGTCTTCTGGGATTGTGAACTGTATGAGGACCAAAGAGCAACAATAATGGACATTTTGTCTGAGAACATGAAAGAAGAATATCTGGAGTCAGTTACAGAGCTCTTAAGGCTAGGGGAGAAAAGATCTTTGCAAGGCATCTGTAACCTCACAAAATTCCTAAATTTATTAAAAAAAAAAAGAATTATGTGTGCGAAATATTAATTTACGAGTTACGAGATAATATTAAAAAATCGCAGGACAATCACTATGATAGAATAAGATGTTTAGAAGACTGCTACAGAGGGCCAGATGGGCATTACTAGGCTTTTTTTGTATTGTGACGTGTTGCGCAATGGTAATAGGCAAGTCAACATCCTCCCTCCCCTCCCCCACCCGCCAGCGGTGACGGTCCGAGTGGAGCCGAAGTTAGCCGAGTCCCAGCATCCTGGTCGCTATGCAACGCGAGTCAACATTAATTTTTCAAAAAAAGAAAGAAAGAAAGCACCAGAGTGTATCAGATGTGTCACAATTTGCAGTAGGGCTACCATATATTAAAAATATATAAGTTTGGAGTGTGACATATGTGACCAAGATGTGGTAAGGGTTTAAATGTAATTACATTATTATTCATATATTATATGAGTATACTCAAACACTAATTATTGGTAGAAACATAAATGTTACAAATAGGAGGGTGTCATGTACACAGCACTGGTGAAATTAATAGTATTTGATGACTTTTATTTAAAAATAAAAAATACATTGTGAAAATCAGTGGTATTTGTTATGACTTGAACCTTCTGGTCTGCAGTAGAAGGTAATTACATGGACAGCTCAAGTGACTCGATTGCTCAATGATGACCCTGTACCAGAACGCTTGAACCAAATGGTAAATTTGTGTTAAGTTTGGCCGGAATTTCACACCTTAAGAATCCTCAGACTCAGTAATGCATTACCAGCATGTCGGCCGTATGAACTTCTGAGCCAAGATGAACAGTAGTTTACTTGGTGATATATGTGTGACAGCCCAGTATGAGCATAATCCTTGTAGAGGTATAGCTCCAGTTTTTGTTAACTTTTAGTAGTGCATGGAGGTTAGTCATTAGTGTCATGCCCATCACGTTTACCACCAGGAGGGAGTCCCTGGCATCCATTGCATAGGTTGGGTGTGTCCCAAAACTAGTATGGACCCAATGGCAAAGAGAAAATCTGTGTTGTCACTTGGAATTGAACCCCTGTTCTCCCATAGTCTGGTCACAGTACTGACTGAGCTACTCAGCTCATATTCCTAAAGAAACGTTAATTTTGTGGCCACAAAAATATGCACCTTATTATAACAGTATAGTTTTAGACAAGTTTAGAAAAGTTATGTACATATAGTGCGTATTCGTGAAGCAAGTGTTATTTTTAGATCTTTTGTAATCATTACATACCACAGAACATGTTATGTGAAGGTCATGTTTTACAGATGTACTCAGTGAAAGTATTGTGATGCATGCTTTTATTGGGTAGCTTTGTTCAAATATGTCTTAAGATGATGCTTCTAGACCATGTAGGTCACCTAGGGCTTGACACTTAGCTTCAGATTGCAGTGACTTTGTGAGACTTTTCTAAATAGATGACCAGGAGTCACCTTCGGGTGGGCATCTATTGGACCTTACTTACGTGGGAAGTAATGAACTTTTCATTGGTTGAATGAGCTAGTTCTCAGGCATTTTGTAATATTTTGATATTAAATAACACTTTTGTGGATGGTCTTAGTGTGGACTTTTTCACTTATGCTGTGTAAATAAAGAAGGTACAGTACGAGTGTGTCTGTATGTACACTTCTTGTAAATTTCTGAAGTTGTAATTTGTATATCTATAAATCATACAAACATGAAACTGTGCCTGCATTTTTAATTAATTTTCAGTTATTTAGAATCTCTTTTAAATCTCATATTTGTAAGTTACTACCTAAAGTAAAGGAAGAAATTCTTATTCATTGGTATTGTACCTTGACTGTTTTTCAAAAGAATAATCAGAATTACTGGAGGACTCAACTGAATCCAGTGTGTTTTCACAGAAGTCTATATCTGCAATAACACTGAATGTTGCAGTTGAGTATGCAAATACCTCAGCATTGCATTTAGGAAGTTTCAGCTTCAAGTCTTAGCCCAGAAACCAACTATCCAGCTTAGATCAGTCTTTGTTTACATTCCCTATAGAAAGGACAATACTTTGTAAGATGAGGCAGCGATTAAATAATTAACATTAATATTACTACATCTACATCATGAGCCTCCCATAACAGTTTTTATACACAAAATATAGAATACTCCAATTTGTCCATGGGAACAAAACAAAATCACAAAACCAACGACTGAATCGATGATGTAAAGCATCAATCGAAGCATTTTATTCTTGTTTTATACTATAACTTTTGTTTTATATAATCTAATTTAATATATTTTTATGTCAGATATTTTAATATAATTAATATTATTGTATCCAATTTTATTGGTACTGCAGTTCAGTGGTGTTAGCCATGTATTTGCCTGATGATGGCTATTAATAGCTGAAACAAGTAGCAGAGCAAAAACCAGGCACTGACCTTCATATGGTTGTGTTGTGACGGTCTTAATAAAGAAGTTATATATTGTAACTCAACAGGATGCATGAAATGAAAATTATCCAGCTTAGGTTTATCACGTTTTCTCTGTCCAGCCAGGTAAGTGCCTAGTTAGTACCATATATTATTTGGAGAGTCATTTTCTGAAGTTCCTGACATATTCTGAGACAAGAGGCAGCAGGTAAAGTTATTCCCGGATTTACTTAATTAAGAACCATACCATGAAGATGTAATGAGGGAGTGAAGGTACAGCTCCATCATTCTCAGTGTTTGCACTAGGTGGAGTTGAGTAGTGGCTCCATGCCCCTGCTGCTTTACTCCAGGGAAACAAGCCCCCAGCACCTATTGTGCAGGAGGCTGGGTGGGTCTCAAAGTCAGTCTGAACGCGTGAGAAGAATCTCATGCGTAGTTGTCCAGACCATAATCCAGTTGCTGTACCAACCTAGCTTGCCTGACTCCCTGCATGGAGACATCCACTTCAGAATGTTATTTGAAACTACATGTCAGGCATAACAAATTATGTGAACCACGAACAGATTGCTTTCAAATTCTCTTTTAATTTCCAAACTTCTTGATAGTGGAGCATATCTTTTATATTCTACATAAGCCATGATTTTTATTATTTTCATAGCAAAGTATATCATGTTTCCATCAGTTTGAAATGATGTATCATGTGTTGTGTTTCAGGATGAAGAAGAAGAAATCAAATTGGAGATAAATGTACTAAAGAAGTATTCAAATCATAGAAACATAGCAACGTATTATGGGGCATTTATCAAGAAAAGTCCACCAGGGAAGGATGACCAGCTATGGGTAAGTGATTTTTCATGTTAACATTAGTGAAATGACCGTGTATCAAACTGGGTGTCCAGGATTGTACGCTCACTAGTCTTTATTAATACAGTGACCAAAACACAGCTTTTCTCAGTTCTTTATTTTTATAACTTTCAGTGCACTTGTAGGCTCCATATGAACTGCAGTCTACATGTAAGCATGTGTAAATTGCATTGAATTTTTAGGAAACATACATTTGTATTACACATGCAGACCCCCATGTAAATTGTAGTGTTCTTATAGATCCCATATGAATTGCAATCCAGCTGTAGGATCTAGATGAATTGCAGTGATGTTGCCATCCCTGTATAGGTTGCAGTGCATTTGTAGTCCCCATATAAATACACTGATATTGTCGGCTTTATAATTTTGGACTCACTTGTGGCCTCTGTGTAAATTGTAGTGCACTTATAGGCCCATATGAAGATCCTTTCACTTGTAGACCCTATATAGATTGTAGGACACTTGCGGGCCTTGTGCAAATTGCAGTGAACTTGTAGACACAATGTGACTTGCAATGCACTTTTAATCCCTGTACAAGTTGCAGTCAATGTGTAGGACTTATATGAATTCCAGTGCACTTGGAGACCCTGTACATACATGAAAGACATGTTTATATAGAGGAATATGTAGATGAAATCCCTAGTTCCTACTGAGACAGATGTGATGTGAATGATAACAATATTGATTTTTTTTTCAGTGCATAACTGTTGTTGATTCACGATAATAATATTTTGGTGTAAATATTCTTGACAAGGTATGATTTGAACTTGTAGTCACAGCATTCAGTGTGACTAAGACTGTGGGTGCCATACACTATTCTGCCACTGTCATTGGAAGAGTAAGGATTTACAGTGTGAAATTTGTACAAGAGTTGATGGAAACGATATTGCATGAAGGACGTCACTTCATTATCAGAAGTGGATGAAGTTTTTTGTATTGTCTTTCTTCATTAGTAACTTAATTTTTTCTGATATGTAATTGTTCAAATTTTTGTATTATTTTCAGCTTGTTATGGAGTACTGTGGAGCTGGTTCGGTAACAGATCTAGTAAAATGTAAGTTCCTGCTTTAGCTTTGTAAGAATATTGTTTGAAGTGGAATTAATTGACATTCTGTCAGGGATCCTTATTGACAGCAACTCAGAATATTATTCTGTAAATCACATTGACATGGTGCAGGGCTTTTTGTTTGCTATTCTATTTTTTGACCAGTTGTATTTGATGAGTTTGATTGGTGATCAAAAAGGAAGCGTACTTTCTATAAATAGAGTTAATTCTTATTTTAATATTTATACTTTTTTTTTTAAATTTACCTGTGGAGATTGTGTTAGACTGTTCTAGTGTATACCTAATGTGTGAATTGTTGTGACAGCTACCAAGGGACAGAGCCTGAAAGAGGAATGGATAGCGTACATCTGTAGAGAAATTCTTCGTGGTCTCAGTTACTTGCACACCAACAAGGTGATCCACCGAGACATCAAAGGGCAGAATGTGTTGCTTACTGACAATGCTGAGGTCAAACTAGGTGGGTAGTAAGAAATTTATGTTGGTATATGACCTTCTTTAATGTCATACCAAATGTGAATTTTCCATCTTTTGTCAGTTGTGATTGTACCATCTTTTACATCACTTGGGTGGAATACACACACAGAGTACTGCTGTCATAAACAACTTCAGTACATACATCATACCAGAAGCCACTGCACCATTGTACATTTGAACTATGTACCATCAGGATGAAACAGCAGCCACTTAATTTCTGAGACGAGAGACAAATTATAACCATTGAATTTAATATCGTGACAATTTTGATAGTTCAGTTGATATAGTGACAAACTGGGCTGAACAACAGGGTTCAATTCCTGGCATTGGTAAGAGATTTTCCTCTTCTCCAGTGTCCAAACCAGTTCTGGGGCCCACACAGTCACCTATCCAATGGCTTTTTCTGAGGGTAAAGCAGCCAGGGTGTGAAGCTGACCACTGTCCACCATCTAGTGCTAAGGTCAAGAATGGTGGAGCTATGCCTACACTCTTCCATATGCCTTCAGTGCATGGTGCTTAACAAATTAAGCATAGAAATGACTTTACCTTTCTTATCCTGAAAGTTTCAGAAGTTCTTATATACTAGGTGAGTGTCCAGAGGGTTTGTAGTGTTCCTTGCTTCAAGGAAGAAGAAATATATGCCTTATTCTAACAGTGAATCATGAGAAGACGTAAGCACATCAGTGTCTTGGAAATCATGTGTATCCATTATACTTAAGAGAAAGGACGGATTTGAACGTAATCCTATCATACCAATACAGAATGATAATATTTTGTTGTTGAAACTGCTTTGTTGCATGCTGTCTAGAACAAAAATTAAAGATCACCTAAGCTATTATAAAATTATTGAAGTGACATGTTTTTCTGATTAATTCCAGTTATACTAAGAGATCAACACTATGCTACAAACTGGAAAGTCGCGAGCTCAAATCGCAATGAGGTCATTGGATTTTTCAGTTGACCTAATCTTTCCACCTGCACTATGGCCATGGGGTCTACTCAGCCTCTAACAGAAATGAGTACCAGGAATTTTCCTGGGGGGTAAAAGAGCGGCCGGCGTGTAAGGCTGACAACCTTACCACCATCTATGAGCCAACTGTCTAGAAGATGTGGGAGCCTTGACTTCTCACACTCCTATGGGCCTCCATGGCCTGTTACAGGGACAGCTTTACCTTTTTTTACCCAAGAGATAAACTTTTACATATCTGTCTCATTGCCATAGTTTATTAACGAACACTGATTCTTTTAACAGTTGACTTCGGTGTGAGTGCACAGCTGGATCGCACAATTGGACGGCGTAACACATTCATCGGTACACCATACTGGATGGCACCTGAAGTGATAGCATGTGATGAGAACCCAGATGCCACGTATGACAACCGAAGTGACCTCTGGTCTCTGGGCATAACAGCCCTTGAGATGGCTGAGTCTCAGCCGCCTCTGTGTGATCTTCATCCTATGCGAGCCCTGTTCCTTATACCAAGAAATCCTCCACCTAGATTAAAGTCAAAGAAGTGGGCCAAAAAATTCCATAGTAAGTATTTTGATAATGTTTTGAAATTTTGATATTTATATGATTTTTATTGATTGTGACAGTCATCTCATGTATGGCCCATGTATGAATTATAGAATTCTGATATAGCATAGTGATAAACTGAATAATGATGCATGACTAATACTTGTGGGTTCTAAATTTGATGATTTGATTTATTGGACATCTCTATTACAGTTACACTTGATTACAACAGTTCACACATTTAATTCCATCTTGATAATGCCTCTGTTGTCTGGATCTTGAAGAGTCTCTAGTCTCTCAAATTGTTGACCCATTGTCTAGCAGTGGGAAGTTACATCACAATATCACCAGTTTTATCCTCTCTTTGGTCATGAACATTCAGAACAATGATATCACACCAGCAACCTCTTAGTAATATGTGCGAAATCCTGTCAGTAACAAAACTCTGCTCTCTCTAACTGCTGATACGATTTTATTTTGTATGAAAAAACCTGTACCTATTTTGTGATTTCTATTCCCCTTTGTGTAGAAGAATGTATATTTGCCTGCTGGTGCAGTGCCCTCTGGCCTATACTCCCACAAAATCTAACATATATTTTGATATTTCTTTTTCATCTGCCATGAATGAACCTGCCTTATACAGACTTCTTACATTCCATGTACCAAATTTCACGTCCATTTTCTTTAGTGTAGGTCGTTTATTGGAAGAATCCGTCCAGTTCCATGACCCTTTGAGACCTATTGTAACAAGCTTTTTGTTTTATGGTGAGGAGTTGTTTACCTGACGCTGAACCTCCAAGCTGGATGCACCCCTTATAGGCTGTCTGCAACTGCTTATTCAAAATATCACAGCTACCCTGCATATCTGCAGGCTCTCTCTGCCATCTGCAACCTGAGAACGCCCCATGCGTGGTGACAAGGGACTCACCCAACATGGAAAGTCATTGTAATATATCTAAATTTGGCTCACTATATGAGTTCATTCTGAGTTATACTTATATTTTTAGAGTAGGTGTGACTTCCTCTAGAATAATATTACTTTTTTTTTTTTGAGCTGGTATGCTTACTGACAATTAACAAGTCGCATATATGCATGTGCATTTTACATTTGTACCTTGAGGCTTATTTATACCAAGCGTGAAATGCTGGTAGACCTGTTATTTTTGGGGGGGGGCACTGTATATAACCAATAAGAGATAAGTATTAGTGTTTTTTTTTTTTTTTACATTCTGTTGATTTAATCAGGCTGTTCTCCTAGTAATATTAACCCACATTTGATTGTGAGAACTAGATAACTTGAAAACAAGAGGTTCTGAGAAGAACTGATCATCCACTTTCTTTGACGCAGCACAGGCTGCATAGAAAATGAGGTGTCCAATGATTCTGTTTTTTCTTGTGTATTGGTTGCTGCAATAACAGTTTACTGAGCTGTTGCATAGCAATGATATGCAGAGGTACATATAAACCCACAGACTGATGGGAGAGATTTATGAAGTACACCATTCATATGGGCACAGGTGCCATGATGTACATACGAAGTTTCTTAAAGATTGGTTGAGGGATTCAATGGTTAATAAGCAGGGATTCACAGATACACTGACAGGAAGCATATTGTATAGGCACACTTAGGAAAGTAGTCTAAAGATATAACATGAACATATTTCAGATTTAGCATTCATTGCATCAGCATTTTGCTTTGATGTGTATGTAGTCTGTTTTTCTAATGTATGCAAGATTGAGGAACAAGTGGGAGGATAGTATTTAAATGGATCTCAGAAGAATAGGTATGAGCTTGTCATGGCTTGTTAAGTGGGTGATTGGTTGATTGATTATTTTATTGAAGGAAGTAAGTTAAGAATGAAATTTTGGTGTATTAATATTGTTGAGCTGCAGGTTGTGGTCTCAGAGAATTAGTTGTTTGTTGAGAAATATATGCACTTCTGTGTATAACAGGTTTCATTGAGACAGTGCTTGTGAAAGACTATCATCAGCGCCCTTACACGGAACAACTTCTAAAGCATCCATTCATCCGGGACCAGCCCACTGAACGGCAGGTTCGGATACATCTCAAAGACCATATTGATCGCTGCAAGAAGAGGAAACAAGAGAAAGGTAATGGTTAAAGTAATGTTGTACATGTATATCATTGCTTAAAATTAAAAATGTTCATTACAGAATTAGCATTACTAACTGTTCCATCCACTTATAGAGTTTGTTGTATTAGGAAAGTGTATATTAAATTTTCTGTAGGTCTTAATGTCTAAATTGCTCAAACATACATACAGAGGAGTGCTGTGTAGGTGTGCTTTGCTGATTTGAGACATTTATATTGATTCTCCTGTTGAGGTCTTTGCATGGAGTGATATGGCCAGTTGCTGGCGTTTTAGGGGTGCATGCTGCTTCCATCTTCGTGGTCAGAGTGAGTAGGGTACACACTGGAACATGTTCACTTCCAACACATTGGCAACATCAACATGCTGAAAAGTCCCAAGAGAGCATAGTCAACATGAACAGTGAACTATATTGTCATGTGTTGCCTATGCGGTGCGACAAATAACTTCATGTAGCCTTCAGATTCAACGATTATTTATTGAACTCATTCATCAACACTTACTTAGAGTCAGGAATACAGTTACTGTCACTTGCAGTATAACAATTACTGCTTCCACTGTATCTCTGTGAATACTAGGCTGCCTTCAACAGTGACGCTCTTCAGACTCCAGCTTACACTGAATACTCACTCACTGCTCTTAACACTAGTAACTCTCCCATAACTCAGTACTAGTCCTGAATAGTGTTCGCTGCTCCTTATATAGGCTCAGCATGGACCACATAGAGAACACATTGCTGCTCAGCAACAGATATCAGGTATTGTTGTCTGGTGTGTCTACCTATGCATTGCCTAGCAATAGATGCCCTACTGTTGCGTGACATCACAGCCTAGCGAGGAGGGGTGTTTACCGAGCATTTTTACGCAGTGGACACTCGTTGCTGTGGATATTCCTATGCAACGGTCTCAACAATTTCCATTGTTTCATTCTTCAGCGATGGACGACATATAACACGCCACAATATGTATAAAATCATTAATTGCAATGAACACACCTGGGGGGGGGGGAATCTTACTTATGCACTTTTCTTCCTACCTATTCCCATTGCAACTTACCCTCGACAATTGGGGAGCCTTCTATCAACTTTGACGCCTGTCAGGCAGCAGCAGAGTAGATTAGGCACATTATTAGGTGACTGCTTTAGAACACCAGTTTCTGAATTTTGTGTGCTTGGTGGTCTTAAAAGGAGCTTGTTTAATAGCTTTCCCTGGCTGCTGTCTCTGTTGGCTTTGTCAGGGTTCAGTGCCTACTGTTTCACCTGTATGTAACTGAAAACTGCTGACTGACTTTGGACACAAGTTCCACACACCAAGACAAAAATTGTTCATTTCAGCTTGTATCAAGAAACATTCAAATTGTGATTTATGGCTGAACGTGTACTCAAAATTTCCTCCATGATATTCAATGCATTCTTCGACACATCACATCATGGACCACCACATCCATTCAGAGATGCTGGGGTAGTTGTGGATAGTCTTGACAGGCATCCACATTTTGATGGTGCCTCCTCATTGTTTGATTTGTCTCATTCTGGTCCATCACACTATTTGTTACAAAGTGGATAATTTTCAGTCCAGTGTGACATACAAGTTTACAACACTTCAGTCTTTATTCGCCTTACATGTTTCAATTCAAAAGAATCATCCTCAGAGGCACCCACTACGATCAGGAAACACTGTCACATAAGATGTTTTAATGATATGCACTTAAGCTATGAATAATGCTCACTATATAAATTTTGTTATTATCACAGTTAGTTTTGATGTTGTCTTAGGCATTCATGATGACGCTTCTTGAAATGTAGATTATGCTATTTCTTTTAAGCGTATTTGCTGGGTATTCTGATTGGGATTTTCCACTGCATGCATTATGATATTCACTTTTCCGTACAGTGGCCTCCCAACGTATTTAAAATTGTATTAACATTTTCTTTTGTATGTAAAAAATTAATTATTATGTTAAAATATCGTGAGCCAAATTGGGTCATGTTGTTTTCCTCCTGATGGCGGGAGATGTCGTTTATTTCTCTTGATTGCATATTCTTATTATTAGTCGTGTAGTTTATGTGCGTCCTGTGTCGTTTGTACTGTCCTCATTGTCAACAGGACCTGCATACACAAGAGTTTGTGGATGTCCCTACAGGTAAAAATCCAGAGGATTCAGATCTGGTAAGCATAGAGGCTATGCAGTGGGTCCTCCTCTACCTATCCGTTGGTTAGGATACGTGTTACCGAGAACATCTCACACAACATGGCTAAAATGCGCTAGAGCACTATCATGAATGTACCACACTTGTGCTCTGACTGCCAGTGATACATCTTCAGTGGCTTTGGCAGATCACATAAGATGAAATCTCAGCAGTGGTTGCCTGTAAGCCGATGCCGCAATACATGCGGGTCTACCAATCGCCAACAGTCCCTGCCCACACATTAATGCTGAACTGGTGCTGATGTCTGCACTGCATTCTTTCACGTGTAACAAATCAAATGTTTCCATGTTATTATGGACATATTTTATTGTTTTGCTATGTGGAACTTGTGCCCAAAGTTTGTCTGCACCTTTCAGTTACACCTTGTATGTATGAACACCAACTCATCAAACTCATTTTGACTATGAAATATTGGCAACATTGTCCACATCCAGACAGGGGAAAGACCCAGGAGCAGCATTAGCATAAAAGTGTGCTTTGTCAAAAAGATGGACATTAACATAGCTTTTGTCACCAAACTTTAACAGGCATGCTTCGTTCATTTTTCTGTTCAATGTTTTACAATCAGAGTCACACTTTCTGGACAGCAGTTTACTGCTCTGTAATGCAGTATTACTTTCAATGAGTAAGTCTTTGATTCTTCTGATGTATGTAATGAATTACTGTATTGAACAGTGTTGTTATGTTTTTCATCCAGCTCTCTCTTAGGGGGACTTGCAGATGTATACTGGCATTTTTGAGGATTTCACTGCCTCTGTCTTCTACCAGAATATCAGTAAACATCTACCAGAGTACACAGCATCACATATCAGAAGACACTGCAGTCTAGCTGGCCAAAGAATTTTCATGGGCAATGAGGGTAGGAGTTGTTAGGAGGGAAGAGCTGTCTAAGTAACCTAAAATACTGAAACAATTTAAGGGCAGAGTGGATTTGTGAGAGTAGTGTAAGAGGAGTGATGGAAGGAAGGGTAGAGTGATGGATGATTCATGATAATTCTTTGCTTTGCTCCATTATAGTCTTCCTATACCCCACACTAGGAACTTCATTCCCTACAGACACCTTTCTCATTTATTTCATTCAATTTCATTCCTACAAATTATTTATTTATTTTGCAGTTTGTATCACAATTTATTGCAGTTTATATTCTTGCGCCTACTAAAATCATACAATTGAAGTTCCTTTGCATATTTCATACGAGATACTGTCAGGTAGATATACATAGTACAATTAGTAATTTTGTGGATTGGCCTCATAGTGGTGCTATTATGCACTACAGTGGATGTGTGGATAGAGATGTCATCTTATTGAGATTTGTAATTGGTCATTTTCTTTCAGCTAGTTATTTATTAATGCATTAATTATCACCTTAATAACTTTGAAAGAAACTGGCAAATATAGTATTCCTAACTGTGATGATGATCATCATCAGTAATCTGTCAGACGACAGGTCCACAGTCTCTTCCAAAACAGTTCTCCACTTAATGCGATTTAGAGCTTTCTCCTTCAAATGACAGAATCCTCTTCTGTCCCTAAGGCCATCCAGCATCTTCTTATNACACTATTTGTTACAAAGTGGATAATTTTCAGTCCAGTGTGACATACAAGTTTACAACACTTCAGTCTTTATTCGCCTTACATGTTTCAATTCAAAAGAATCATCCTCAGAGGCACCCACTACGATCAGGAAACACTGTCACATAAGATGTTTTAATGATATGCACTTAAGCTATGAATAATGCTCACTATATAAATTTTGTTATTATCACAGTTAGTTTTGATGTTGTCTTAGGCATTCATGATGACGCTTCTTGAAATGTAGATTATGCTATTTCTTTTAAGCGTATTTGCTGGGTATTCTGATTGGGATTTTCCACTGCATGCATTATGATATTCACTTTTCCGTACAGTGGCCTCCCAACGTATTTAAAATTGTATTAACATTTTCTTTTGTATGTAAAAAATTAATTATTATGTTAAAATATCGTGAGCCAAATTGGGTCATGTTGTTTTCCTCCTGATGGCGGGAGATGTCGTTTATTTCTCTTGATTGCATATTCTTATTATTAGTCGTGTAGTTTATGTGCGTCCTGTGTCGTTTGTACTGTCCTCATTGTCAACAGGACCTGCATACACAAGAGTTTGTGGATGTCCCTACAGGTAAAAATCCAGAGGATTCAGATCTGGTAAGCATAGAGGCTATGCAGTGGGTCCTCCTCTACCTATCCGTTGGTTAGGATACGTGTTACCGAGAACATCTCACACAACATGGCTAAAATGCGCTAGAGCACTATCATGAATGTACCACACTTGTGCTCTGACTGCCAGTGATACATCTTCAGTGGCTTTGGCAGATCACATAAGATGAAATCTCAGCAGTGGTTGCCTGTAAGCCGATGCCGCAATACATGCGGGTCTACCAATCGCCAACAGTCCCTGCCCACACATTAATGCTGAACTGGTGCTGATGTCTGCACTGCATTCTTTCACGTGTAACAAATCAAATGTTTCCATGTTATTATGGACATATTTTATTGTTTTGCTATGTGGAACTTGTGCCCAAAGTTTGTCTGCACCTTTCAGTTACACCTTGTATGTATGAACACCAACTCATCAAACTCATTTTGACTATGAAATATTGGCAACATTGTCCACATCCAGACAGGGGAAAGACCCAGGAGCAGCATTAGCATAAAAGTGTGCTTTGTCAAAAAGATGGACATTAACATAGCTTTTGTCACCAAACTTTAACAGGCATGCTTCGTTCATTTTTCTGTTCAATGTTTTACAATCAGAGTCACACTTTCTGGACAGCAGTTTACTGCTCTGTAATGCAGTATTACTTTCAATGAGTAAGTCTTTGATTCTTCTGATGTATGTAATGAATTACTGTATTGAACAGTGTTGTTATGTTTTTCATCCAGCTCTCTCTTAGGGGGACTTGCAGATGTATACTGGCATTTTTGAGGATTTCACTGCCTCTGTCTTCTACCAGAATATCAGTAAACATCTACCAGAGTACACAGCATCACATATCAGAAGACACTGCAGTCTAGCTGGCCAAAGAATTTTCATGGGCAATGAGGGTAGGAGTTGTTAGGAGGGAAGAGCTGTCTAAGTAACCTAAAATACTGAAACAATTTAAGGGCAGAGTGGATTTGTGAGAGTAGTGTAAGAGGAGTGATGGAAGGAAGGGTAGAGTGATGGATGATTCATGATAATTCTTTGCTTTGCTCCATTATAGTCTTCCTATACCCCACACTAGGAACTTCATTCCCTACAGACACCTTTCTCATTTATTTCATTCAATTTCATTCCTACAAATTATTTATTTATTTTGCAGTTTGTATCACAATTTATTGCAGTTTATATTCTTGCGCCTACTAAAATCATACAATTGAAGTTCCTTTGCATATTTCATACGAGATACTGTCAGGTAGATATACATAGTACAATTAGTAATTTTGTGGATTGGCCTCATAGTGGTGCTATTATGCACTACAGTGGATGTGTGGATAGAGATGTCATCTTATTGAGATTTGTAATTGGTCATTTTCTTTCAGCTAGTTATTTATTAATGCATTAATTATCACCTTAATAACTTTGAAAGAAACTGGCAAATATAGTATTCCTAACTGTGATGATGATCATCATCAGTAATCTGTCAGACGACAGGTCCACAGTCTCTTCCAAAACAATTCTCCACTTAATGCGATTTAGAGCTTTCTCCTTCAAATGACAGAATCCTCTTCTGTCCCTAAGGCCATCCAGCATCTTCTTATGTCTTCTTTCTCGTCTTCTTGTCACTTCTATCCGCCCCTCTATCTTTCCTTCAGTAACTTCTTTTAGAAGGCAGTTTCTGCGTAAAACATGACCAATCCAATTAGCCTTTCATATTCTTATTTCGTGTAGGATATTCCTCTGCTCACTGACTCTAATTAACACTTCTAATTAACACTCCTATATAAGTATTAAACACAGAAGTTGAAACTTTGAGGCAGCAAGTTTATTGAGGGTACTTTCCTCTTTGGTAATATAAGTAAAAGGACAGGTTTGTAGATGTTACAGCAGAGCTTGAATGTAAAGATTTGGTATTTTGATTAGTGAAGCAGAGAACATGCATACTCAGAAAAACATGTATGTGGTGTTTTTAAGTGAAATTCAGTTTTTAAGAAATGAATGTGTGTAATACTGTACATTTTAACTGATTGTCGAAAACACACTGATGAGAGCCAGCAATAAGTTAACTTGTCCATAAATCTCTGATTTTATGAAAAATGTGATAAGAATGACTTGACTTTGTATGAAACAGAACGAGAGGACTACCGGTATAGTGGATCAGAAAATGAAGAAGAGGAACCAGCAATCGCAGGAGAGCCTTCATCCATAGTTCAAGCACCTGGTGGTGACACTCTCAGGAGAAATTTCCAACAAATACAGGTATTAACAGTAACGGCACTGGGAATTTAAATGTTCAGGATACAGGAGGCTATACACTTTTAAATACTCTGGGTCTAGTGTTCTTTCCATACATCCATTTGTTAAAATGGACATATTTTTATTTATTTTTTGTAAGATTCTGCATAGAAACAAAACACTTTTTGAAGATTTATAAATAGCAAGCTTTATATATACATGGTCTGAGAATTAAGTTCCTGGACTGAAGCTTACAGTAATATTACTGATCACAAAACTCACTTATTTTAAAGATATTCTTCCTTTACAGGCACATTTTTTTTTCATGTTTTCCTGTCAATGTACAGATAGCAGCAGCATAAAAGTTTTCATCCTGAATATATAGCCACAATTAATACCCAGGAAAACCAAAAGTATGATGTATAAAGTACTTATAAGATCAGTGCTATCTTATGACTCTGAGACCTGGCCACTGTCAAGATCGGATGAAAGACTGTTAAGTATATTTGAAAGGAGGATCCTGAGATATATCTTTGGACCAGTGGAAGAAAATTGAATATAGAGGAAGAGGTATAATCATGAGCTATACAAACTATTTAACGAACCAGACATTATTGGATTTATAAAGGTGAAAAGGATTGAATGGGCTGGACACATAATATGTGCCAGCGAGAATAGAACGACTAAGAAAATACTTAATACTAAACCAGAAGGAAATAGGCAAGTGGGAAGACCAAGATTGAGATGGGAAGAATGTGTGTGGCAGGACATAAGAATTTTGGGTGTAAAGAACTGGAGGAATGTAGCTTCGAATGGAGTAGAATGGCGAGCAATCCTGAGGAAGGCCAGGCCTCACAAAGGGCTGTCATGCCACTGATGATTAATAATATAGCCTATTCTTGACACTGCATTCGAGTTTGTCATCACGTTGAAATTTCTGTCTCTCTAGTTGCACCTGCATTGGTCCCAACAAATGCAAACCACTGAAAGCTAAGTCAGGGCTATACGGAATGTAATTCTTGATTTCCTAGCCCATTGTTGCCACTGTCACCTTCATAAAATATTCTGTATGTGGCCAAGGGTTGTCTCAGAATAGGATGATGATTTTTTGACAAATTCCCAGATCTCTCTTCCAAATTGCTTGGTGCACATCAGTGTGAAGCATGTTGCTCTAATAATGTGCATTAATTGTTATAGCATCGGGAAAAAAATAACACGAGGCACTTCTTCTGAATCCCAAAACACACTTGCCATGATCTTGCCTGCAGACAGTTGTGTTTTGAACTTTATTATGGCTTTCAGAAAACTTATTATACCAATCAAAGGTACTTTGACAAAGTCTCTTATGCAGTTCATTTAACCTGTGAAGAATCTCTGGTGGTTTCACTTTCTGCCTCTTTGGGAATGTGATAGAGTGACAAGGCCTGATGCCATCCTGTACTAGCTTCAATGTGCAGAAGAGGGGTGCTTGGCCACCTGCTAGGTAGTGAATGCATTGTTACCACCATCTGTCCATAAAGAGTTTTTATTTTTCTGGTGCCCACATCTTCAGGAATAAGAAATAAAGTCCAGTTTCATCTTGAATCGCCTACATAAATGTCATTATTACCAGTACATTATTTGTGTTAGAATAAATACAAGAATTCCATCAAGTATATCCAGTTTTTAATTAATAAATAATTATGAAATCCCACATGCCTCAGATGACTATTGGTAGAGATGCCCATAAAAGAAAACTACATAATTTTACAAGAATTTGACCTCGGCACTAGATGGTGGTGAGTGGTCTGCTTCACACCCGTTTTGCTTTGCCCCTGGGGAAAGAACCTCCAGTACCCATTCAGTAGGAAGCTGGTTGCGCCTCAGAGTCAGTCTGGATACTGTAGAGAAAAGAAAAATCTTGCAGTGCCAGGAATTGAACTCAGGCCTTCCAGCCTGTAGCCTGTTTGTATATTGCCTGCACTATGCCTACTTTTTGAATTTGTATGTAAGTCACTCAAAATAGACCTGACCACAAAATATTGTCACATGTATTAGTGACTTGTAGGCTGGGTTTGGATTGGTGAATCAATTTATTGGATGCTCACAAGTCTAACTGCAATTAATTATATAACACACTAAAAATTACTGTAATTATAACATATAAATACATTTTTCAACATCTGCCTACACTAGTCGTTGTTAGGTAAGGTATCTCAATAATGGCTATGCCTGTACAGTGTCTTCACTGTCCATTTCCTGGCAGTGGATTCATAACACAGAGACTGTAAAAGCCCAATAAATTACGCACTTTCAATATCACTGTATTACAGAACATGTAAAGTCACTCACTAAATCTTCTCAAACTGACTTTAATGCTCCTCCAACTACTAACTTCCTGTGGCTGTGTTCTACTGACAACTGGCTGCTTCTTCAAACTATATCCCTCATAAAATCTTCGCAGGTACCATGCAGCACAGAAAACGCAGCTTCCTCTGTTGGGGTTACCTGGCCTTCCAGCCAGTTCATTGGCGTGCTGACTGCTACCTATTATTATTATTATTAGAGGGGGTGGATTTCCCCATGCACCGTGACTAATAGTCTATTGTATGTCCCCCTTTGATATTCTACCAGTCACCATACCCTACCGGTACTGGTGCGTGCTATCAGCCCCGTTCAGCCGACGAGGTTGGGCCTCTGTACCTGATTCTTCTTCCATCTACCAGAGGCATTGGAAACTACTTGGGCGAGAAACTTTTTGCCTAATTTTGCTCAGAGGTCTCCTAGAGACATGAGGATCTTTTACGTGCCGTAAATCTATGACACGGGACCCACGGCTTAAAGTCCTTGTTCCCTGAATTTTTCTACCCTTAAAAATTCCACAACCTCCACCGTGTTTGAACCTGCGTACCTTGAGTTATGAGGTGGGAACATTACCCCTAGACTATGGAGGCCGCTGACTGCTACCTAACAATGAGCTTTAACATTTGACCATTGAGAACACAGCTTTCACTGTTGCATGTTTGAATGTGTTTATGGAGAAGTTACCTGGCAGCAATCATGTATTGTTGTAATGAGCTTAAGCGAGAAGGTATTTATCATGCCATTGCCTAGCTCTACATGTTACAATGTCATTAACATTAAAACTGGTCTGCTGCAAAAGGCCAATTATGTATAGTAAAAGCTTTTATATCTCTTCTGGTGTGATGCAGAAAGTTATTCCTCATAAAATATAATCATATAAGTCTCTTATTTCATTATGCATTGCAGCATCTTTGTAGTGGCTTTAATATATTTGTGTGTTTGGCATACATTAACATTGGATGATATTTCTGACCAAATTTCTGAATGTTAATCAATTTGCTGGTGTTTCAGGAGGGTAGAACATTGACACAAAATGAATCAAAGGAGTCTAAACACAATTGGAAAGGGGAACGAGAGGAAATACCAGAACCTGGGCCTCCAGCGAGACCCCCCATACCACAAAGACTCATCGGTGAGTTCAGAATTATGCACGCCTAATGTACAAGTAAGGGTTTAATCCTTTCTGGTCAAACGTCGATATATAATCGACATGGTGACTGTGCTTCTATGAACAAATGTTGATATACAGTATGCACCAAAATATCCAGTACTGAAATTAAAAGACTTCCTGTTGATACCACTGTCTATTCATGTGAAGGCCCCTTGCACGACAGAACCTTCTCAGATCCTGAAGATATGGTCTGATCACCATGTCCCTGTAACGTTCTAGGGTGACGGTAAGAGCATTACCTTCCTCATCCTCAACGAAATAGGGGCCTAATATGCTGTGTGCTGAGACACACACCATATTGTCACTCATGTACTATGTAGCAGTTTCTGGACGATAACATGTGGCCGCTCAAAACAAAGGAAGTGAGTTGTCTGGCGACCGCTTCCGTATGAGCGAAAATAATACTCAACTATGAATACTTTTTCCTCCATCAAGAGACCCATTTCTAACAACTGCACAACACAACTTCTTTCTCACTACTGGGAACATGCGCGGGTGGAGTTGTGCCCAATCGACAAACGCACATGCATACATGCATGTTTGAGATGCGCGAGTTTTAGTACCGCATATTGTCAGGTGTTGGGTGTGTCACGCGACAAATAACTTCATGTCGTTCCGGATCTAGCGAATTTATTGAACATTTATTTATTTTGGCGCATACTGTGTTATCAACAAAGTTTGTTTCATGTTCCTGAGGACGTATTTCAATTGTATGTCACTAGTTGGCACTGTAGACAATACCAATACATGCATGAATGTTTTGCCTGCTACCTTACACCATCTGGAAGTCATAATTTGAACCTCTTGAGGAATGAATGCCATTTATATATTATGGAGTGTCACATGTTAGTAGCATGCTTTTACATTTAGCTGAACCCACGGCCCTCTGGGTTGAAGAAACTAGATATAATCCCTTGTGTGATGTGGATGAAGAATCTAGTAGTGATATGTTAAGTGAAGAACTCAATATGATGATGAGATTAATTTGGAAATTGTAAGGAGAAACTTCGAAGGAAGAATCGAGCAATAAAATGTTGGAAAGTGAGAGTGAGAGTGAAACCAGTGTTGTGTGTTGGTGGGTGGGAAGACATGACAGTGGGCAGTGATGCATGTGGGGAAATGACGCCACTGAATAAAACAATCTGGCCCTGGGGTCAACTCAGCCTCTAACAGAAATGAGTACCAGAAATCTTCCTATGGAGTAAAGGGCATGGAGGACATAAGGCTGACAATCTTACCGCAATCTGCGCGCTCACTGTCTAGAAAATGTGGGAGCCTTGATGTCTCACAACGCTATTGGCCTTCACAGCCTGTTATAGGGATAGCTTTAGCTTTTATGAAATGTACATATGTTTGGAAGCGGTGGAGATTGAGTGGTACATTATTATTATGAAACATTTTATCCGCTACCTTGCATTTAGTTGTGCCAGATCCTCATCCCCCGTCACGACCACTGCCTCCTCCACCAAGGGAGGATCGCCAGCAGAAACCCGCCACACCACCAACAGGAGCTGCAAGTCACCAGCAACCCTCGTCTGCAGCTCCACAACCCCAGCAGCGCAACTCGCACATTTTCAAGCCCATGGTGAGAAGTCTATATTCAGTACTTGTTCTTCATTTTCTTTTTCGCCTAAGCTTCCCTGGAAGATGGAAACTTGACCAGATAAGTGGACAGCTGTCTGTCGCTTCCCCAATAACATTAAGAAGGGGATTCATGTTTACAAACTGGGGTCATGTCCTGCATGTTTTTCAGTTCAAAGAATAGAAATGCATGACATTACTCCCCACATGATCTACACTGTAAGAAAATTTACTATGTACATACATCTCAGTTCTACTTGTTCACAGATTGCTTATGTGTACTAGTGTTTTTCTCAGCTTCATGTAGCATATTATCAACTTGAGATGGCTCATCCAACTTTGTTTATTTTTTAATATTTCAGCTTTTGAAACCTGGTTGATGTTAGTGATAGTGAAGTAAATGATTTGAAATCCTAACAGTATTCCCATAGAGAGAATAACATAATTATTTTTATTTTCAGTCATATAAATTCTGCCGAAACTGTAAATTTGGTTAAGAGAAAGAAGTGTTATTTCGTTGAGCTTAAGTGAAATAAAACTTTTCAAAAGTAATTTCCATTGCTTCTTGTATGATTATATGGGAAAAGAGGTAAATGTGAATGTGTTGCATAAAATTAAATATCAGGGAACAGTAGTAAGAAGAGAAGAAGAATTTATGATAATTCAATATGGATGCAGTTATGCAGTTATTTTGCCTTATGTTTTGTATAGTTGCAAAGTATGGTTTCTTACCCTTTGGAGGGTACACGTATCACCACCACCATCAGCAACAATAACAACAACCTCTTTTGAACCATGGCTTTCTTTAGAAGATTCTGCCAGATATGTATGTTCCAGGCTGTGTGCCGTGAATTAGGCGATCCTGTATTCCCTTCTTTGGATTTTGCAGCAGTAATTTTTTTACAGAGCAAGTTCATCGGCCTTGTGCCCAACTCTCATCCTGGAGGACCAGGTGTCTTTATTTATGTCCCCAGTGACAGGGTTGCCCAGTTGTACCTCCGGACACCAGGTTCCTTTTCCATAGCCTTCTGTGACTCGCAGGGATGCGATGGATGTATTCTAACACGCCTCCACACCGGGTGGGAACATGTATACTATGTTGAAATTACTCAAAGTCTAAGTTGGAAGGAAAATTATTTGGCATAAGAAGCTGAGAGGCAAAATGAAGGCTAATGAGGAACCTTATACTGTAATCGAGGCATGGATTTGGCATATAGAATGAGTATAATATTTTTTAGATGCAAAATCTCTCAGATGGTGAAATTTGATATACCTGTGGCGATGTCTGTGGAGAATATTGTTTTCTGGGGTGTGATACCATCTGGTCTGGTAGATAGTTACCACCATTTCTGAGTAATGTGTTATAGTTACCACCATTTCTGAGTAATGTGTTATCATCTTCTCACATCCTAGAAGACAGTAGTCTTTCCTTGGTAAGTTTTCATTTAAAGGGTAGATCATTATGAAGTAGTGGTGATGTGCATTTGATTTGACTGTCTCAGAATAGTATGGTTTGGTCATGAATCCAGTCAAGTTTTGGACATCAGCATTTTCTGGAAACTGATTTATGATTTACTACAATATGATTACAGTTTAAGCACTCAGCTGGCAAGTTTCAATCTAAAATAAAAATTATAATATGCAAACTACATTTGTAAATTTGTGTAAAACAATACACACATAATTTTATACTACAAGATAGAGGACCTGCAGTGAAACATGCATGAATCCTCTTCTTATGTTGTCAGGATCTAGCAGTTTATGTCCTCCATTCCTTTTGCTTTTTATTATACCACTGGCTGTCATTTGGTATCATATTATTGTTTAATTCTGACCTTTTAACTAACAATCTTGCATAATAGTTTTTGTACTATTAACTGTCAAATAGTGCTATTTATTTGTTGTGTACAAGATTGTTGCAAATATAAGGATTTCTTTGTATCCAGGTGATCGAAGCATGGGTTTACATTCAGACTGATGGATTGAATGGAATAAACATTTTCATGGTTCTGAAAGATGTTAAATCCTGTAAATTGGTTGCGTGTTCATTCTTTAGCATACTTATCGGGTGATTATAAGAAAATTGCATTAGTAACATCAATAGGTAACGCGATCAAATTTATAGTTTGTTCTAGTTCAGTTTCCAGATTTTTCCACCTGGAGCACTATACTTGTGTAAAAATGACATCTCAAGTAGAAAAAGATGAGTGTGTGCTGTGACTTTGTAAGTCTGGGTCAGTTGTTGCAGTGCAAAGGAGACTTTATGGTGTTTGGAAGAGTACTACCAACAGAAATGTCAATTTACAAGTGGTATAAATTATTTTATCATAATGGCTGTGTTTGTGAAGGTAGAATCTGCAAGAGATAAATGGTCACTGAAGCCTAAATGTGAAGTTTAGCTTTTGTCAGCAGTTCATGAAAATCACTCATACATGATGTGAGATAATTAAACATGCCACATACAACAGCAAACAAAATTTTGCAGGAATGTTTGAAATTTAAGAGTCAGGTTCTATAAGCTTTCAGAGAAGTGGATTGGTGCATAGCAACCGCGGCATCCCCCGCTACGTCACTGTTGTCACCTTCCATGTCACAGTGGGAAGCGCTGCCACATCACCGCAGCGGAGGGGTTGGAGCACTGACCAGCCCATCACCATAGTAGTGGCACCGCTGGCGGGGGGAGGGGGCATCCTGGATAGCGCAAATACGTCACAATATACATTCATACAATTACATACTTTTATATGGATAATCCATTCTGATTTGAGAAAGACAGTTTTTTATTTCTCCTATAAAATTATTTTTTCTTAACATTTTATCATTGAAACGAAGTATTTGAATCGATATTAAAAAGAAAATAAGAAGATTCAGTATCCATTGTCACTCCCAGAACATTTATTTTATTAAACCAATTTGTTGTTTGTCAGGTCTTCATTTTGCAGGCCATAACTTATATTTGTAACAATGTTGGTACTATTGTAATAGCAATACATGATCATATGGTAATCCTGCATGCTTTGCTTTGTAATCTAAGTTATAGGAAAGTCACATTGTAATGAATTAGTATTCTAAACACTACATTTTCATATAATAGCACTTGTATTTAATTTTAGTGTTTCTTTGCTTATTATTACACACTTGTTTAATTTGCTATGACACCTAATTCCAAGTTTTTCTCTCTCTGTTTGATTTAAGCTTCCTCCAAGAAGACCAGAGGTAGGCACAGTACTTATTCATTTTATATAATTTATTTTTATTTTTATAACAGTCTAGTTACTATGTGGTTGCTTGTTGGTATTAGAAAACTAGGTGCTTTAGTAGAAACCTGCTGCCAATATTTTGGTTGCTTCTTCTTTTATGTTAAGAGAAAGTGGTTCAAGGTGAAAGTTTAACATACCGTATACAAGAGAAACCTGGAAAGATAAAAAATATTAAAGTTGGGCTGTTTTGAAAGTAAGTGTATCTTTAACAGAGTAATGGCCTGTATACAGTTTGAGTATAATATGATATATTTAATGTACCCTTTCTTAGCAAGAGTTGATATATTTTCGTCTTTGAGAAATCTCACAGTACTGGCAAAATATGTGCAGTTATCTTCTATAGCTGTTAGCAGAAGTATGCAGTCTTTGGACATGGATCACATAGAGCATTATCCATTCTGGGCCAGCAGTCTTTGTATTGAACATTCCTGATGAAGGTAGGTAAAGGTAAAGTTATTCCTGAACCTGATCGCCGTGCACTGAAGTCATACAGGGAGAGAGAAGCAAGAGTTCCATGTGTTCTTAATCTCAACACTTGATGCTGGTGATTGTCTTCTCACTTTGGTTGCTTTACTTTGAATGAAGAGTTTGCAGGATCAGCTCAGTAGGTGAGCCTCAGAATTACTCTGGACCTGGTGGTGAAGAGATAAATCTTGACTGTATTGGGAATTGAACTCTATGCATCCAGCCACATCATTGCTGACTGAGCTGTCTGGCTTAACTGATTAAAATACAGTGTCAGAAACATTAAGAGCATTAGAATAAATTCAACATGAATACCAGTCAATCTTTTCTTTTATTGATACATGTCTAATTCATTTCATTTCTGTGAGCTTTAAAGTTCTCCAGACCATAAATACCAAATTACATTTTTGGGGATGTAACTGCATTCACTTTGGTACATGGGTACTTGTTAAGATTACAGTTTCCTGAGATGTGGTGTGTATGCATTTTGGTAGGTCACTATCAGACTATGGACTTCTGGTATGTGGTGTCCATCTACCAAACTACAATTATGAGACTGTAGTCTTAACAATTTAGTGCAGTCACATTAATGATTTTGCTTTATATATACTTTTATATGTATTTTATCTGTGGTCTAGTGGTCAGAGTTTCTGGCTACAGATCCAGAGGTCTGGGTTTGATTCCTGGCGCTACCAGATTTTCTGAGAAGTAGCGGGTCTGGAATGGGGTACACTCAGCCTCATGAGGATAATTGAGGAGCCATTTGAAGGAAATAATGGCTCCGGCCTAAAAAGCCGAAATTAACGGCCGTGGGGATCTGTTGCGCTGACCATGTGGGACCCTCTGTCAGCTAAAGTTGGCACTAACTTTGCCAACAAGCAGCGGTCACTCAGTCGGTATAGTTCGCTTGCAGACTAAAACCACGGAGTTTATGTTTTTTAGTACAAATGTTTGTTTTAAAACAAAACTGCTCACAAACTTTCAGATTTCTGATGAAATCCACACACTGAACTGAACTGTTAATAAAACTTTGTATTTTACATTTGCGAACCTTCACTGATTTTCAAGTTTAAGTTAAATTTCTTGTCTCTTTTAAATTATATGTTTTATTAAAGGGCACAAGGGTACACATGTGGACACATTCCACATTTTCTAGAATGCTGTTAATTAGCCTTTAGTTCTGTCCCATAATTGCAGCATAAACTATTAGCCAGTACAATACATTTCAAAATCTGAATGTTGCAGGTGCCTCTGTGTCCATTTTTGTCTATTCCAACTGGTAGTTCTTAATTTCGTAATATGGGCAGCTGTTCAAGCTTTAGATATTCATTTCATCTTTTCCGAGGTCTTTCTTGGTCTAAACCTCATTTTTCTTTATGCTCTGAAATCTCTGTCAGTATTCTTTCAGTCTGCCTTGATTCAATGCTTTATGTCTATTCACTACATTTAATTTTTTTCATACTGCACTGTGTGTTTTTGCACATATATTTAGATGCCCACTTCTGGGCATTCACACATTCTGCACTAATTACATGCCATGTTCATATATGTAACTTATAATTCCCTACCTTTCACTTGTCGTAATGTTGGAATTTTCTCATTTTGTCCAGACCGGTTCTGGGGTCCACCCAACCGCCTATCCAGTGGGTACTGGGTGTCTTTCCCTGTGATCTGTACATCCACTCATATGCCCTCATGGCATAGTGCTTAGTTAGTTAAACATGGGGACAACTTTGCCTTATCTTTACCAGTATTGTAAAGAACAAAGCAGAAACTAGATTGGTTTCTGTCCTCAGGTGAAAAGGCTTCGGGAGACATGCTCTTTCTGATGGATCCAGCAGAGTAGGTGCTTCCAAACGTGGGGAAGCCTCAGGATTGAAATGTCCCGTTTCCAAAACATCTTGTTCTTTAGAATACCAGTTGATGGACAAAGCTTGAAACCCCACTAAACCTGAGGGTTATAGACTATTGCCAGAACCCTTTATTACTGACTTCAAATTTTCATCTACCACTTCCATATACTCCTGTTACTGACATCAGTTCTAAAAATTAATGGAAAAGAGGCATACTTCAGGAGGATGTGTTTTGTCCAATGCAGCACAGCAGCAACATAAGATGGATGCAGTGATGGAGTTGCTATGCACAGAATGTTAAATAAAGTCTTTGAATTTGACTGTGAAGAAATACAATATTGCTTCCAGACACAAGTCATTATGAAGAAATTGATGGTGCATAGTAAATATTTTTCTGAGGAGTAGACGTTTAGGAGGTAAGATGAAACCAAAGGTTTTACTTATTTTCAATTTGGCATGAGGTAAAATACCTGTATCATGATGTTTATCTACAGATTGTAACGAAGTGATCATATTTATCCCATCGATCAGTTTTTGTCATTTTTTCAAGACTTGCTTCAAGTTGTCAAGACTTCGTTAGAACGAACAAGAATAATTAATGTGAAACATGGTAACAGCTGACTGATCACATACAGTTGATATTTATAATCAGTTATTGATTTTTATCAGAAATTTGTTGTACACTAGAATAGTTTGTCCAAAACTGCACAGAAAAATACTTGAAGTAGAGGCAGTTTTATTTTTCCAATCTTCTTGGTGTAAGAGGAAGATTTATTCTTGGGAGATTAATCTCCTGAAGTCTACTAGTGTGAGTTACTTGAAGAAAAGAAAGTTAACATTTCACAAGGTTGTGTATGAGTGTAATTTGCCTATTTTGAGATTTTTATCTTTCCAGATATTTCAATTTTAAAGCATTATGATAAGAGGTATAAATTAAATCTTTGGCTTTTGAACCACTTTGATTAGATTAGCTGCATGTACTGACTTCTGTGATGTCAGCTAGAACTAGAGCAGAACAAGAAGACTCCTTACAAAGAGGACTGTAGCATCTATTGCTGGACTAACAATACATTTTGCAGTGAAAATGTAAGTATGTCTTTCCTGGCACCCTTCTGCTTGAGCAATATTCAAACAAAAGTCAAGATTGTTCGTAATGTTTCAGAATAGTGAAATGCAATACATCAGCACCGATAAGAGACTGGATTTATTGTTTGCTGTAGTTGAGTCACCTACATTCTCAAAGGCAAAAATTTGCTGGGAGAAGAAGACCTGTACCCACACTGTTGCATCCTTGCCTGCACACCAGGCGTCCATAGCCTAACACCAGTGTGAAGCAAATGATCCTAAGCTCTCCCCAGTAGGCAGAGTTAGGAGGGCTCGTGATGTCATCTCTCATTGTCATAGTGTACCATTTCCCGAGATGGGCAAGGATAATTAGACTAACAAACAGTTAGGAGGGCTCGTGATGTCATCTCTCATTGTCATAGTGTACCATTTCCCGAGATGGGCAAGGATAATTAGACTAACAAACATGGTAATAATGAAGAAAACAGTCTTCTGGGATGTCGCGCTGTGTAGATGTGGTGTTAACCGACGTTTCGGAGGAATGTATCACCTCCATCTTCAGGGTAGAAGGAAAAATAAGAAAATCCGCAAGCGAAGAGACAGTGAGAACAGGTGCAAGCAGACTAATGTCAGAAATAAACTCAGCTATATGAGAACAGGGAAGGAAGGGACAGGTCTACATGGGAAATCAGTGGAGAGGGGAAGGGTCTGGGGAGCATGAGCAAGGTTAGAGCAGGTATACGATATTGTGTGGGGGGGGGGTGCTGTGTGGCCTTGTGGATCTGGCATCATGTCCCAGCGGGGAGGGGGTTTAGGGAACAGATGAGAGCCTTCCATGACTTGCTGAGACAAAAGCCCCCCTCTCTGTTTATATTGTCGGGATGGAGTTCAATCTCAGTGGCTTTCCTAATGATGTGATCCATATATTGGTTCTTGGTGGCGAGGATGGAGGTATTCTGAAGCTGAATGCAGTGTCCCATATCAATGCTGTGTTCAGCTACAGCTGACTTGTCTGGATGTTTGAGATTCCCACGTAGAATTGTCCCTTCCTTTCCTGCTGTCATATAGCTGAGTCTATTTCTGGCATTACTATGCTTGCACCTGTTCTCACTGTCTCTTTGCTTGCGGTATTTCTTATTTTTCCTTCTACCCTGAAGATGGAGGCGATATGTTCCTCCGAAACGTCGGTTAACACCACATCTACACAGTGCCACATCCCAGAAGACTGCTTTCTTCATAGTCACCACCACGAAAACCTCAAACCTTACATGATGATAATGGTACAGATATTCAGATGTAGCACTGGCAGGCATAGCAGGAAGAGAATAAATCGCAGGGTTCTGGGACAGACAGGTCAAGGCAGACAGGCTCTGATAAGGGTAGGGTAACAACTTTACAGATTGAGTAGACATAAGTCAGTTTCACAGAAATGTAATGTAACTTAAGTGGATACAAAAAATCCATATCAGTTACTCGTACTAGCAGGGAGAGAACATAAAACATTAGCAGAATAACACAAAAGTATAAATATGAAGAATTTGGTTGGTTGTTGGTTACAGTGTGCATATGTATCCACATGACATAAAGAAGAATGAAGTACCAAGGGGGCAGAATTGCAGACATGCATATAGGAACAACAATTGCAGAACTATAACACAGGCATGACTGCCTGAACAAACAGCCCTCAGAACTAGACATGTGAAACAACCATGACAGGCTCACATTGAATATAACCAGACAGAACATTTAGCTTGCCAAAATACAAGTACAGCATACTTGCAGGAATTTGGCACACACATATATGCAAGTGCTCTCGCCACTGGAGTTTCAGATGTTCATGATTACAGATAGTAATATAGAATTTTGTGCTCCCAGCCAGTGGATGTTAATGTCTTCCAGCCGCTTGATAAAGGCAATGAAGAGCTGTATTCGGAAGAATATCCTACCCTATTTATGACCATGCCTGTGATTTATAATATGGGAAAGAAGAGCAGTCTGTTGTGAACAAAGAATATAGTCCTGGACAGTGTAATAAATGGCCAGTTATTGTTGCGAATTCCAGGTCCCCTGTGTTATTATTGGTGAAAACAGTAATATGGTTGGCTGATCATTGCGACACCCAATGTACAGGCACAGAGCATTCAAAGACTCACCAGAAAATATTGACCAGTGATGATTGGATATTGTCATCGTCATTGTCACTGTCTAGAATTATAATGAACACTTCTCGACACTGGTGTCATTATGATAACACCATGAAGTAGACATTCCCAAAATGTAGGGCATTGTCAGTGGTGACCACCGAATATTGACAGTGCCAAAAAGGGCCAGGTGATCTCTGATATTGTCTGATTTTGGTTTTTCACTGTAACATATTTACTAGAAAAGATATATAAAATGGAGTAGCTAGTTTGCAGATAACTTTTGTATCTCATATGTTGAATGTGTAGCGTTGTGGGCAGTTGGCTTATTCAAGTTGGCAGTCAGGTATGTGTATTTTCTGGGGCGTCCAGTAGTTGTGTGATACTACGGTCTTGAACTCCTGTCAGAGCATGGCGCATGATAACAATCCGTTAGACTTAGGTGGCTGTGCTATGCCTATGCCAGTTCCTGTTCTCCTGCAACATCTGCACTCAACTCAGGCTTCGACTTCTGCCAGCTACATTTTCACTCATGCCATGTGGTTTTTACTAGGGTCCTCATTTCTGTCTCAACCTGTGTTCCTTGGATCCTGAGGTCGAGCCCTTGTGAAGGCCCTTTTTCTTCTATCTCCTTGACAGAGACTTTGGATCCACTTTTGTATTGCATTCTTTGTTCCTTGGATCCTGAGGTCGAGTTGTTTGTGAAGGCCCTTTTTTGTGTTGGATACATCCTTATGGAGTCATTGGCTCCACTTTGCTATCACAACCTGTGTTCCTTGTATCCTGAGGTTGGGCTTTCCATGAAGGTCCTTCTGTGTGTCTGCCATCTCCTTGCAGAGGCTGATGTTCTATGTATTGAGGGACATTTGTAACCCCAGTTGTGTTTCTTCAGTCTTCATGTTCAGTTTCTTACGGAGGCCCTGTATTCATTAGTTGACAGATGTCAGGATGTCTTCCATCCAATTTTTGATGGTTTTTTCCAATCTTGACTGAATGTATTTTATTGCGGCTCCATTTTGGCTGGCCCTCACTATGGCCTCCATTTCTTCCAGGCCAGCCTTCCTCATAGCCTAGATCTTTTCTTGAATGGCCTCTGCTGTGGCTTCCAGCCTTTCCATGATGGCTACCAGACATTTCAAGTCAGCCATGATTATCTGTCACGTTGGTTCAAGTCCAGCAGTTCACAATAAAATAAGTCCAGAAATTCAGTCCAGCCCCACTGTTGACACCAGCTGTCATGTGTTACTGACTAGACATGGTTTGGATTGATAATTGGATTTATTGGACACCTGTTACTTGTAGCTATTCAGATGGTTGTAACAGTCTCTCTAACTTATACACTCTCTAAACCAATACAAAATCTTCTGTTTGTTATTCTATCATTACTAGATGTTGCCAGGTAGTGGCTGTTAACAAAAGAGATTCTTCAGAGCCAACCATGAATTGCTGCTGCTCACTTGCAACTCTTGACTGACTAAATCCCACTTATGGTCCTTGTTTTATGGTGTGGGCATAGACTATGTAGAAAACATTGCTTCTGACAGTTCCTTTATTGTTGCGTGTTGATTTTATTGCTGTGGAAACATGTTTGCGGCATAGAAAACACTGCATCTTCTATTTTTGCATCAGAATCTGTTGCTGCAGAATTGTATTTACCTTGCCACTGCCTTGCAGTGATGTGACCGCCTCTACTCATTCCACTGTTTCAGCTGTCAGCTGTCATGTTACAGTATTTACCAGAAAAATGAAATAACTAGAACTCAGATGGCTTTGTATCTCATGTGTTCTCACATCAAGATGTTTATTACAGCATTCTTGTGGCCACTGTAGCTCACAGAAATATACCTAATTCATTTTCCTACAAAGTGTCACATCTAACAATTTACACTCAAACCCGTCAGTTATGTGACACTCAAACATTTAGAACTCCTCATTACTGGACAGAGATTATTTTTCATAGAGTAGAAATCACCACATTCTTTGTGGTCATAAGCAAGCAGTTAGGAACTTATTAAGAATATTATGACATGACACCTGAAAACTGAATATGACCATCTGCTAGTCAACACTTCGCTAAGCACGTTCTTGTGGGAACACGGTATGGACTGTTGCTGGACAACAGTTTGGTAAACAGTTCCTATGGCAATGGATAAGCAGGTAACAAGTTGCAAAACACAAGATTGCTGTGACAACTGACAGGACAGCAGAGGACAATTAACTGTTCAGCGCAGTGTCTTCGATGTGGGCCCCATTTTAAATTGTGTGGGCCACCTAGCAGTTATAAAGGAAGAAAAGATCCAGAAGTCAAACCAGAGACAAATCTGAGATTCGGACAGAAGTGAGAGTTTCGTCATACAGAAGGGGTTCAATGCGTAAGCTGTTATAATCAACTGTAATTGTAATAGGGGCATCCAATAAGTCCTGTCATCAAATCTAGAACCCACAATCTTCTCATGCCTACCCCTTATATGAGACAATATTTTAAAATTCCAACATGAGCCTGCCACCCACGTGAGGGCATTGTGTCCATGGACATGTGGTTGACAATCCCTTCCGTACAGTTTTTGTTGGAAAAAACATCAGAATATTTTGTTAAATTTATCTGGTCTTGTAAATAATGATAATTTGTTGCATTAGGTATTTAGATTTGTATATAATGATTTAGTAAGGAAACAGCATTTTAATGGTTTCCTCTCTAATGCAACAGGATCTGGACATGCTGGCTGCTCAATTGAACGAACTGGGTGTTACTCAGCCAGAGGCTCCAGCCCGTTCCCGGCAAAATGGCAAGTCTTCATCGGCTGTTGGAGGAAATTCATCGCACAATGCCCTCCCAGCACCACCATCTTCCCTTCCACAGTCTGCGTCTTCTATCCTGGATGCAGCTGTTGAGTCAGACTCAGATGAAGGGGAAGATGGCACAGGTGTCCGCAATGATGGCACCCTGCTCGCTAGCGACCCACCTAAACCACTGTAAGTGATTATATTCACTCACACTGGTGGTCCAAACATCAAATGTGAATTTTGAATGTTATGGTACACTGATGTATCATTGCTATCATGGCTCTTGGTGAAGTATTGATATTGAGTTTGATATGTAGCAGAAATGCCCATGTTGTGGTCTTCTTGGTTGTGACATCTCATAGCCTTGTTTTAGACGATCACAAAGCCTCAGGACTTGAAGTGAGTGGCGTGAGGATGTGGTCATATATATGTAGGCATTGAGTATGGTTCCTTAGAGCCAGGGGAAGGGGAAAGCAGGTAGAGCCATTTCCAAACAATAGGAGCAATGAACAGGGAATAAAAAAGGAACTGTGGTTTTAGCCCGCAAGTGAAGTATACTGACTGAGCGACTGCTGCTTGTCGGTGAAGTTAATGCCACCTTTAGCAGATAGATGGTGTTGCGTGGTCAGTGCAACAAGTCCCCATGGCCGTTAATTTCAGTTTTCTATACCAGAGCTGCTGCTTTTCCATTCAAGTAGCTCCTCAGTTATCCTCACGAGGCTGAGTGGACCCTGTTCCAGAACCATTACCTCTCAGAAAGTCTGGTAGTGCCGGGAATCGAACCCGGAACCCCTGGATCCATAGCCAGGAACTCTGACCACCAGAACACAGAGGCAGTCTAGCGTTGAACAGGGAATAATGAAAAAAAAAAATGTTCTTTTCAAGGTTATACACCTGAGCAAGACACATCGAAATCTTGATATAAATCCCTTGCATTGCATGTGGGCCTAGATTATATTTATCCAAATGTGTTCTTCCCCTCTTTGGTGCTACTCCAGCTGACATTGGCTCCAGGTTATTAGCAATTGTGTAGATCTCCCAATAATGATATAGACATTTGTAACCCCTGCCTTTCCGTAACTATGCATGCCAATCCTACCATTCAGTCTGCTTCATTCCAGCAAAGTACCATGTGATCTGTTGTACATATTGATTGAACCATGTCAGTGTCTCAAGTTCCTGTTGCTCTGCTTCTCACCAGGCACAGATCATTAGTAATTCATGCCCTTTGATACAGGAGAAATGCAAAACAATGCATTCATTCTACTTTGTTCCTTCTTTTGCTCTATGATATTCTGCAGTATGAAACATGGGTTCGGTTGTCAGATTTATGTCCAGTGATGACCTTTTGTCAGAACTTTATGCAGATTGGTTTACAGATGTATCCAATGATTGAAACTACTGAAACAGAAATCCTGGATACTGGCATAGCCACCACTAGTTCTGGTACTGTCTATTTTTAGACAGGAGTATTGCCTAAGGAGAGAGTAACTGTCTTTTCTTTGGAGAAGACTGTTCATTCAGGGTGTAGATGAATGGTCTTCACACCTTATGAAGGGTAAAATATCCTGTCTTCATATTAGGATTTTGCTCATTCTCTGTTGCCTTTTCTTATGATCCAATCTGACACCAGGGGTTATGAGAGAAAGCGCCCCTTTTTAGGCCTAGGCAGAGTGTCATCTCAGGAGGAAGTAACTGTCTTGTTTCTGGAGAGATTATTATTCTTGCTTCAGGGTGTGGGGGCAAAAGGCTTCCATGATTTTCTCTGGCACAAACTGTTCATGTTGTTCCACTTGAGCTTGATTTCTCATTGTTTCCCTTATGATTCAATCCTTGGCCAAAATGTTGATGTCCGCTGACAAGACTACACAGTGTAAGATTTGAGGCTTTCACGGTGGTGACTATGAAGAAAGAAGTCTGCTTTTACCAGTTCTCATGGTCTCTTTGCTTGTGGATTTCTTATATTTTTCCTTCTACCCTGAAGATGGAGGCGATACGTTCCTCCGAAATGTCGGTTAACACCACACATACACGGTGCCAAATCCCAGAAGACTGCTTTCTTCAAGACTACACAGGTTAACACTTACTGCTGTTATATTAGCAGTGATCGCTGTTGTATATGCCCTCAGTAACCCATTCCCCAAATGTAAGACTCATAGAGCTGCCCTTGCAGAAATGCAATGAAAGTTGTGCTTTGACACATTCCAGTTCTGTCTAAAATGGAAGCTTGCAACATGGGCATGTTATTACAGTGTACTCTGAAGGATCTTGTGGACTTCTGCAAAAATGCCAGTGTACTGTGAAATCCCTACACATGTCCGCATAACAGACAGATGTTAGGCAGTGTAAAATATTGTCACGTGTTGGGTAGGTCACGTGACAAATAACTTCACACCATATTGAATATAGCGAATTTATTTCACATTTGCTCTTACAATCACACAATTCACAATTACTATCATCGGCAGAATCACAATTAGTTGTATTGTTTCCATTCACTCCAGCAAACGCTAGACTTGCACTGTCTTCGGCGGCTGCACTCGTAAATTCAATTATTTATCGAGGCATGTTCTGACACCAAATTGTCATTTAAGCTTGCATACAAGTCTAGAACATAAACATTACACCAGCCTGCTCAGTGACATATGTCACGTGACAGCTGGTATGTTAACAGTTAAACATGCACAATAAAAATAATTACTTCAGTAAAATAAGTTGCCAAAGTTTCTTCACTTCTTAATTATTGAAACATTTGTTAATGATTTTGTGTTCTGCTTTTATATCTTACACTAATAATATATCTCACCTTTATTAATACAGACTTTTTTCCTTCCTATCTTCCACTTTCTCACCCTTCTGTCCTTTGTTCCATTTATTCCTTCTCTTTGGTTCACCTTGTTTTGTTCTCATCTTTTGTTGGTGCAGCCCCGAACTTTCTCCTTACAGACCACTGGATCCTCCTCATGCACCGCAGACAATGGTGATTCATGAAGGTGAGTTGACAAGTTTGCATTGTTTTTTGAAAGTAAAACTGTTATCTGGAAAGAAATGGAGGGACAGTGTGTGCATTAATTTTTAGGGAAATAGGAATGTTTATTGTGTGCATTAATTTTTAGGGAAATAGGAATGTTTATTGTCAAAGTGATCTTGCTTTTGTGTTCGTTGTTTAAGAAAACTGGTACTGGATCTTTCATAGCTCCTTAGCAGAAATATTCTATGTTTTTGGTCAGGTGTGAACCTAACACCAGTAAGAAAAATATTTTACAGATGGATTCTCTTTATGACCACTTCCATGATCCAAAATATGTGTCTAGAACATGGGGGGGGAAGATATTCATTACCTACCAGGTGGTATCAGAAAGCTCCTGGACTGTGATCATTGCCACTGCCTCAGTGAAGGAAGATGAGAGGGTACACCAAGGTCACACTTCTGAAAGCCTACTGCATCAGTCTGCCACACGACACAACGCTGTGAACACACACTGTTTTTACATGGGTACTTTTTTGACTTCTTGTTTTGTTTGGTCTGCAGTGGTTGACAAAATTGAACAAAGTGTCTGCATCAAATTTTGCATGAAGCTCAGTAAATCTGCTCGCATAACTCTTGAAATGCTTTGTGAGGCTTTTGGATAACCTTCTTTAAGCCGGACAGTGGTTTTTGAATGGCATTGACGTTTCAAGGCTGGTCAAGTGTCAGTTGAAGATGATGAACTTTCAGGGCAACCAAGCACAAGGAAAGCAACAGAAAATGTTGAAAAAATTAGAGAATTCATCCACGAAGACTGTCGCCGAACAATCCATGAGCTCACAGACGCAGTTAGGATCAGTTAATGGAGTTTGCATGGAGATCTTAAGAGAAAATTTGAACATGTGCTACATTGCTCCTTTATCCTGATAACACACCTGTCAACATGCCCCTAAAAATCATAGTTTGTGACTAACAACATCGTGGTTATCATTCCCCATCTTTGCTACTCACTGGACTTAGCCCCCTGTGATTTCGTTTTGTTTGCTAAATTGAAAATGAAACTAAGGGACAATTTGAAACAGTGTCCGACATGAAAAGGGAATCACAAGTGGTACTTGACAGCATTAAGGAAAAGTCCTTTTGAAGCATGAATAAAATTATGTGATCACTGTGTACATTCCCAAGCAGACTATTTCAGAGGAGATGGCAGCTAAAATTGAGTAAGTTAGGCCAATAATTCTTTTTTGACCTAGTCTGGAAACTTTCTGATACACCTCATAATTCCAAGTTTCATAAGCACCAATACTAGAAATGAAGGTTTGTCATGTATTTGTAATTTGTCTTGGGTTATATGAACTTTGTATCTGGACCAAAAATTGACTTTTGCAAGCAGGTCCATCATCAAGTGGGGCCCCCAACAGGCCTCTTCCTCCAACACCAGATGAGGAAGAGAGTGGGGACCGAACCCTTGTGATGAAGCGGGTAAGTAGCAGGAGTTTTGCCTCCTCCTGGCTTGGCTAGAGGGTGACATGTTAAGTGAAACTCTCAAGTTCTTTCTGTATTAACATCAAGTCATATGGACGGGGTTTAAATAAACTTTTGCCCATGCTCCCACCCAAAATGAGTATAAGTGGCTTAATGTAGTTGTTCTTTTGTAAAGAGCAACTAAGGACAGATCTCCCATTTGCATATGTAGAATGTGTAAACATTTTGAGCTCTTTACCTATAATGTATGGTAGGTTAAATTTAAATAACCTGAAGGCAAAGGAGATTGTTTAAATTAAAAAAAATGCATGCTTGAACTAAAATGATTGCAACTTAATCACATTTTTTAGGTGAATCCTGTCATATATGAAGAATATGAGGGTATGATTTTTAGCAATTGAGGTTGTTGTAGCAGTCATTAAGCACAGCAGAGGTCAGAGTCTATTAGAATATAATTACGACACCAGGAGCATAGAAATTTCATCCACTGTTGCTGATTTGTAGAGCTGCCGTGAAGATTGTGGTTTAAACACACCCACACTGCCATTTTATGAATTGTTCTGCCTATGGTTCCAGTCTAGAAAACCAGATTTACATCTGTTGGGATCTGTTGCTCTGACCATGTGACACCCTTTATCCGCAAAACTTGGCACTAACTTCACTGACAAGCAGTGGTCGCTCGGTCAGTATAGTTCACTTGCGGACTACAGGCCACGGAGTTTAGTTTTAGTTTCTGCATAATGGTTGGTCTCGTTTACTGTATGTCACAAAATTTATAATTGAAAATAGTTTAAGATATTCCAAAATGTCATTTGTGTCGTTTGCTGCACCCTGTGGTCCAAATTCACCAGAGAAAGTTTCATCTCCCCTATAATTTAGCATGGCTTCCCATTCAAAAGCTCTGTCAGTAACAGCATTCTCTACCTTTTATCATCATTCACTAATGTGTCAGTTAGTGCTTCATGATCTCTAGAATTTGAGTCCCATGCAGTCTAGTAAACTGGGAATCGGGAGTTTTTTGACTTTGTAATTTATCCAATATGCTGAAGAACACAATATTTTGGAAACAGGATCTGCATATGTCCTCAGGTGGAAGAGTGAGAGATACCTACTCTGTTGGTTCCATTATAAAGAGCAAATGAAAATCACAAGAGAGGTTAGCTCTATCTGATGGACCCAACAAAATAGTTGCATCCAACCCTTCCACCTGAGGATGGAAACAGATCTATTTAAAAAAATGCTGTGTTCTTTAGAATGCCAGATGATGAGCAGAGTGCAAAAATTCTGTAGTTCTGACAATGTTTTGCTCTTCAGTTCAGCTACAGAAGTCTATGAAATAGAAGCACAGGTTAGTTACGTATCATAGCATTTAGCAGCAGCAGGACCCCCCCCACACACACACACACACACACACACACACAAACTTTGTGCGTGAAAGTACGAAAGGATATTTAGTTTTCCATGTTATGATGAAACAACTGTGCTGACATGTTATGCATGGGCCACATGTATAGACACTCAGAATTACTGGGCTTGTCTCTATCGATGGGTATTCTAGAAAGTAGACCTGTTTCTGTCCTCATTTGAAGGTGGAAGACACCTATTCTGTTGGGACTCTTAGAAAGAGCTAACCTCGATCACTGGACAGCCCTTGTCAGATTCAGTAAATCTATTTAATTCTGTTGGGACCCTTAGAAAGAGCTAACCTCGATCACTGGACAGCCCTTGTCAGATTTAGTAAATCTATTTAATTCTGTTGGGACCCTTAGAAAGAGCTAACCTCGATCACTGGACAGCCCTTGTCAGATTTAGTAAATCTATTTAATTCTGTTGGGACCCTTAGAAAGAGCTAACCTCGATCACGGGACAGCCCTTGTCACATTCAGTAACTCTATTTAATTACCTGATAAGGCTAATTCAGAGGGTGATAAGAAAATATGCAATAAAAATTGTGACAGGGTGCACATGCATGGAACTAGGATAGAAAAGGAGGTACAAATTTATGCTACATACCTAGTGAACGAAACCAATGCATAGGAAAATGTAAAGATTTGTGGTGACATATAGTATCTACTGCTAGCACCTCTGTGGAGTAAAACCTGAATACTTGAGGCTAAAACCTTATGGAAACCCATGAATCTGTCATGTCATACAGATCCTCTGTGTGATTTGGGAACTTCATTGCTGATGAGTGGGATCCAGATGGGAGAAATGCCCAAACTGGGTTGTAGGATTGGACCGGTTAAGCATGCCGTGTGGGCCGATTCCTTGTGTTTTCTATACCGTGCGTTACATTTAATTTCCAAAACACTAGCATCATCCCAGCCTGTGCTGTGACCCTCTTCGTAGGCATGTTGGGCTAATTTTCATTTTTCTAGAAGACCTTTGAGATTGTGCCTGTGTTCACGGAGTAGCATGGCTCACCAATGTAACTTCTGCCACATTCACAGGGAATGCTGTAGATGCACTGTGCCATCTGTTCCAGAGTGTTGTGTTTTCTGGTTTCTGGAATACCGGACAATGGACGAAGTCCACAAACCCAGAAGTTCTGAGTTTTATACACAATCGTCAGAACCTTCTAGAATCTACTGATATATAAAGCTTGTCAGTTGACACTTAGGTGTTAGTATTATGTTTTATAAATGCTGACTGTGAAACGAGTAACAACAAATTATGTGTTACATGGTACTGTAGCAGGCAGTTTAGTTGCACATTATTGGGTGTGCATTTCAGGATGTGTTCTGCTCTCCACCATACACCAAGCAGGTGGGAGATCTGTCTACTTCTAAATTCAGTGAAAATATCTTCCCTACTAATACCGCCAGATTTGGTGCTTGAGACGTATTGTAAAATGTGTCTGATTTAGGTTTCATTGAGAATGACTTGCTCTGAATGTTGGCTTTTATATCAAGGTGATATTGGAATGTTTATATGAAGGGGGACCCAAAAATAACCGGAAACGACCTGTTGCACACACATGCTTTGTAGTTACAAGTTGTGCTGCTAAGTGGTGTTAGCTGGGGGTCTCCCGCGACTGTTAGTGAGCTGGCGTCAGTCTGAGTTGAGTGGTTTGTCTGTGGTGCTCTGTTGTGTGCGTTCCTGTTTCAACCCTTTGGCGATTAGTGAGATGGCCGACCAGAAGGAACAAAGAGTGTGCATGAAATTTTGCTTTCTGTTAGGGAAAGCTGCACTTCACTCTTCAAGTCGCGGCAAACATTCACGCGGTTTTCTCTTTGGTCATCTCCGAGCAAGTGAGGAACAAATTTTGCAGACACCCGTCTCATGTGCAAACCTTCGGTTAAAATTCGCTGGACCGTGCTCCATGAGATGTTTGTTTCCTCAGAAAGTTGGTCAATGGTCTTTCGACGATCTTCATCAATTTCACGCACACTCTTTGTTCCTTCTGGTCGGCCATCTCACTAATCACCAAAGGGTTGAAACAGGAATGCACGCAACAGAGCACCACAGACAAACCACTTAACTCAGACTGACGCCAGCTCACTAACAGTCGCAGGAGACCCCCAGCTAACACCACCTAGCAGCACAACTCGTAACTACAAAGCATGCGCGCGCAACAGGTCGTTTCCGGTTATTTTTCCGGTTATTTTTGGGTCCCCCTCGTATATTCATGTTAAACAGGTATAGTTCTCATAACACCATATTTAGTTTCCTGAAACATGGATTGTACATGTTCAATATAAGAAGAAGACTGACTTTTTATCATACGTTCCATGAATCAATTTTCATTTCTTAAAATTTCAGAAGTTTAATTCATTGCCCATGCTTCCTGTGTACCGTGTGCACGTGCACACGCGCGCGCGCGCACATACACACACACACAAGTGTGGCTGAAAGGTGTGGACATTCTGGACAAGAGTTCCACATACCAAAACAATAAAAATGTCCATATTACAATGTGTCCAGCAACATTTAATTTCTTTACTTATAGCTGAAAGAATACTGTGTAGACACCAGCAGCAATTCAGCATTGATGTATGGACAGGGGTTGATGGTGATAGTGTGGTAGGCCTTCATGTTTTGCCATATCAGCTTACAGGCAAGCACTACTGAGATTTCTCCTAATAGTCTGCCAAAGCTACCAGAAGATGTACCAGTGACAGTCAGAGGACAAATAGGGTATATGCATTATGGGGCTGTTATGCATTTTAGCCATGCTGTGTAAGGTGTTCTAAGTAGCACTGATCATGACTGATGGATAGGTAGAGGAGGATCCACTGCATGACCTCCGTGCTTGCCAGATTTGAATCTTCTGGGTTTTTACTTTTGGGAATACCTGTAGATCTTGTGTATGCAGCTCCTGTTGACAGTGGAGAGAGACTGCACCATTGCACTATGGATGCCTGTCAGACTATTGACAACTACCCCGGCATTTTTGAACAGGTGCAGCAGTACATGATGAGACATGTCGAGGCACGCATTGAATATCATGAAGGACATTTTGATCATATATAAATGTGATCTTTCAGGTATAATTATCAAATTTAATGTTTCTAGACTAAGGCTAATATGGACATTTTTTCTTGTTTGGGCATGTGGAACTTGTACCCAAAGTTTGTCCACTCCTTTATGTTACCCTGATACACCTCAGTCATATTAGTCACTCACAATGCAGTGAGATTCTTCAAACAAATTCATTTTGCACTGATACAGCTGATTGGGAACATTTTATNGTGAAAGCCTCAAATCTTACATTTTATTGGGTTAATTTTGCAAGAAAGCTTCAGATCTTATGCAATAACTAGTTCATTTTTGGGTCCAGGTTTGAAACCTGGACTACCACTATCAGTTATTAATGCATTTCTGCATTACTTTAGGACATAATAATTTAAATGTTATACTTTCTTATGTTTTTGTTTCTAGTTCTCTTTATGAGTGGTGTGGCATTTCACATGGCTTTTTTGCACATGATCAAAAAAGATATCCACTTATGGCATAGTATTCAGGACCATTCACTTCAGTTTTTTAAGTCACTGGTTGTGAAGATTTCAAAACAGGAGTAGTTTGCTTTCAGCCAAAGGGTGCAGAGCTGTTTGCTCTTGCCATGCAAAATCACTTAAACAGTTCAGCTTAAAAGTCAGCATGCTTGTTATATAGCACTTTTTATATTATTTTTCATTGATTTATTGTTCTATATGTTAGTTTATGTTGTTTAGGTATTTTATGTGGAATGCACTGTGACAAAATTGTATGCCTGTCATTTCTTGTTTTCCTTTTCGAACTTCATGAAATTGTAAAGCTGTATCTGTTTAGTAGATACTGTGTATGCCTGCTGCTTATGCATATCAAGAGAATTATGGCTATGTGCTATCAAACACAAGAGAGTATTCTGATATAGAAAGTTCACTTTAAATGTTGCATCATGATTTTCTGAAGGATGATTAGCTTTGAAATGATAAATTTGTTGTAAATGCTTGTTGATTAAGAATTCAGAATTAATGTTATGAAATCTATCATTACTCATTCTCTGAAGTGCAGAAAGCTATTCAGTCAACCAGAATGTTCTAGCAACTTGAATTCAATATTAGGATTCTTGTATAGACATTTTAGTAGTAGTGTAAATATATAATAGGAACGTGTAATTGTTGAGATTAGATAGAGCACCTGAATGCTGCAGACTTGTTTTTTTGAACAGATAACCTGCACATTATTATTTGGAACTGTACTATTTATAAATTGGAGACATTTAACTGGAAGGACTGGAGCTGATTTGAAGAATATTACCATTTTGTGTCAGAAATGTAATCAGTATGGTTACATAGTTTAAAATTGTATTCTGTGTTATGTACTTACTATTTTTAAGAATTGTGAAGAACTGAATGTACTGTGTAATTTTATCCACCATGAAGACCTTCCGTATGATTTCTGTTCCATTTATTGTTTAATTTTTTTTTGTGCAGTTTGATTATCCTCTCACAGTTGCACATGCTATTAAATATCCAATATATAGTGCATTATATCGTTGATTTACACTACCGATATCCTTGCCATGTTTATGCTGTAGGGCTGTCAAAGTGACTGGTATTTATAAAGTTTTCTTATGTTATATTGACCTGTTAAAGGGACAGCTTTACCTTACCTTCTATATTTTATTACTCTAATACCATTGAGAATTTAGCAGGAAGTCTCATACTATGTTATATAAGCTTATGTACTTTTGACTCCCCTTTTTTCTCTCATATTCCATTCCATCCTTACATGTTATTGAATGATGCATTGCCTTTGACCTATAATGCCATCTCTCACAAATAACTAGGTGCATATAGCTGTCGATGATGACACACCTTAAAACCCCACTCACACATATGAATAACATGCGCAAATGATCATTTACTGATTTTAGTCTTGGCGGTGATTAATTAATGACATTGAAGAAAGCAGTCTTCTGGGATTTGGCACCGTGTATATGTGGTGTTAACCGACGTTTCGGAGGAACGTATCGCCCCCATCTTCAGGGTAGAAGAAAAAGTATAAGAAATCTGCAAGCGACAACACTGTGAGAAACGGTAAAATGGTAAACGGTCTGCTTTACCGTTTCTCACGGTGTTGTCGCTTGCAGATTTCTTATACTTTTTCTTCTACCCTGAAGATGGGGGCGATACGTTCCTCCGAAACGTCGGTTAACACCACATATACACGGTGCCAAATCCCAGAAGACTGCTTTCTTCATAGTCACCGCCGTGAAAGTCTCAAATCTTACAATTAATGACATTAATTAAGTTCTTGGGTTGTCAGCAACATGTGGATGTGGCGATGTTGCTGATGATTCTTTAAGGTACCTACACTCTTTGGCCACGAATGTTTACATGGTGTAACAACCCAAGAACATAATTAGTAAACAATTACATGAGAATCTTCTCCTTTGTATGGTATACTGCAGTTCACACATTCACATCAGAATGTTATCAGTATGATACACTGAAATGCAAGCCTGCTTACTCATTTGTGACCCGCTACATAACTTACCTTAACACAATATGTTAGTGCTTTATAATTCATTGCTGTGTTAATCTGAAGTAGCCTAATGACAGTGGTAAATCTTGTGTGGCAGAAACTTTTATATGCATAGGATATGTACTCAAAATGCTTTTCCATATCTTACACACTTTCCATTGTTGACATTTATAGACCAATTTACAGCCTTCAGAGGCAGTTATTTGTTACATTTTAGAAATTAAGGTGTTGTTCTTAGTACAGTATTGAGTCTTTGTTGGGTGTGTGCACCTGTTTACTGAAGTTGAGGTACCTATAAACAACAAACATAATACTAATATTATGTTGGACATTGTTCAGTGTCTGAAGTATATTTGATATACATGACATTTCAGGAATATTTTGTTATATTTTATTTTAAAATTTTGGCAACAGTTGGAATCAAATGCGGGTGATTAGTGTATTATCCTAGTATTCAGGAGGTCTTGGGTTTTATATCATCACCAGTCTTAAAAGCATCAGAGCACACTGTACTTCTTTGAAATGGCAGCATTGATGAAGGGCCAAGTCTTGGATTGAGATGCACAGGAGATGAAAGGTACAAGTGTGTCTACGCCTCTACTGTAATGTAATGTAATCTTGAAAACAAAGGAAATGGTAACAGAGTAGTCAGTGTAATGTCAACCAGTCACCTGAAGATGAGGCTGGAGCCTACTTCTGGAATGCTGTGCATGTTATGTACTTATGCAATGAATAATCTCCAACATAATATGGATATAATTCAACCATTGTGTCAGACTTTTTGAGAATTATAACAACGGAGTTGTCAACACAACAATACAGAGTTCAAGGCTAAATTAGCTTTGCTACATGTTTCGGCTATTCATAGCCATCATCAGGCATATGTATTTGCTTTCACTTCTGAATGAGAAGAAATTTGAAGGAATGTCAGCTGGTGAATGAAATGATGCAGTACATTGTACGTGAACTATATTTAAAAGAAAGACAGCTCTTTAAGTTCAAGTCTAATTTAATTCATATTTGAAGTATGTAATTAATATTGTTTCTCTTTAATTACCACCTTGAAAATGTATCCCACAATGTTTGACCCGTATAGTTTAGCACGTATTGTTTTGAAATTATCTTTTTACTGCATTACTTCCATTTTGTGCTATTTTTATGCAGTTTTGAGTGGGTGCATGTGCAGTGGGTAACAAAATATGTAGGTATGGTGCTTATATGGTGAGCGGTGTATTATCCTTTCACCATTAATTTCTTCCCCTGTGGTTGCAGTTGGTTAAAAACTACATGAGACCAGATGATTTTGGTTTAATTTGGTCTTCCTAATACTGAGAGTTTGAAATTTACATTTTAATTTTCAGTGGTTCATAGTTGGTGATTGCAGTATCTCATTATGAGACCGTTTTGATTCAGAGTTGTATAGAAACTGACTTACAGGCATTTCCCATAATTTTGTCTGTGTATAGGTAGCTGGACACACCAATTCTGGGGAAGACTTCTGTTTATTATTTGATTGGCCATATCCTTCATTACATGATTCTCTGATCCCTTCCTCAGTATCATCAATATTGTGCACTAACTTGGTGTGGCATCATTAAGTAATTCAGATGGGCAGAAAATGAGCAGTCCTTCATAATGCTTTACTATTTGCAAATTATGGTCTCTGTGATTTTTAACCAAAGTTCATAACTTTAGCACCTTGTCTTGTAAATATACTTCAAGGTAAAATGTAACCATTCTTCAGGGTTTTGAAGTTATAATATTAGGTTGGTATAATATATTAGTTGGTTGTGAACTTATTTTCATGTTACTTAATTTCCAGTCTCATTAGTTTTCTTTCACTTTGACATACTTTCTGTTTTCATTGTGATTCCCATATACTGTTTTCATATGGACAAAGCAGAAAGAAGCCTCAGCACGATCACAACAGCAGAACCGGCACTCAGAACTTGATGAGCAGTCGCTACTTAAGGACTGGGATTTTGCTCGGTTCTTCCAAGGTTACAGTGACCTTTTTGACAAAACGAAGTTGGAAACCAATAATTCTGAAGCAAATGAAAATTGTGGAAGTCCAACAAAAATCCAGCAATGCAATAGTAGTAGTCAAGACGTTAGTGCCAACAAGATAAGTAGTGGAACACATGCTGAGAAAAGAAATCAGCAAAATCATGGGATTGGATCCACCAAAAGAAACTCTAATAAGGAGATATTTAGTTCAGCAGCAGCTGATCAGAAGGGTATTATACCCCATCACCGGCGAAATGAATCAGACTCAAGAATAACTGGACCTTACAGTGGTTTCAGACGAGAGAACTCAGATTTTTTCCCAGCCTCTTCTCGGCACTCAGCCGTATTACTTGACTCAAAGAATAATTCAGGATCAGGGAGTGGAAGTGGTGGTATTCTGTTCTCTGGAAATGGCCGTCGTGGTTCAGACATTGCTGGTGGGGTATCCGGATTGTCAGGTCTCAATATCCTTAGTGTTGTAAAAAAGGGAGGGGGGAGTTCAGGTGCTAGGAATGGAGAACCCATCCTTACCGATTTCAGTCTTAACAAAGCTTCTAATGAACATGCTTCCACTATTCTGGACCATCCTGTGAGACCACGTAGGGAGAAAACAGAGGGGGACATTGTTCTACTTAGGAATCGTCAGGAACTACGAGATGAACTGCAGGCAAGGCGACTGGATGTGGAGCAGAGGTTCTCTCGAGAGGCTGAACGCATGAGGAGACGTAACAGCCGCCCACTTGTGGACATAGGAAGCAGCAGTAATGTTGCCTCATTGATGTCGTCTGACTTCGGTGGCGCAGGTACAGGAGGGAGGGAAGAGTACAGCCTGCGACAGGTTAGTGAGGTCAATTTGAGACGAGAGATTGTGATGCCACATTGATTGAGACAAGTAATAGACAGATGAGGAAAAGGCATGCCAGTTTTGGTACATCTAATGTAGGTTTACGGATGTTGCTACTTCTGATTCTATTCCTCTTTTGGTATCATAAGAATGAGATTTAATTCTACACAGTTAGTTTCTATATGAGTTGCTTGAATAGTTTTATTGTAGCTTACATAGTATATCCAGTAAGACTTGGAAGAATATATTCGCTTTCAAATATCTCACTTGCACTAAGAATATTGAATGTCTGTTATCTAACTAAGCCAACCTTTTGTTCTTATATTTGTGTGTTCCTAGCCGCTTTAGGAACCTGGGTCATTGGGGAAGTTAGTTTGTAAATTATGTTTGTTCAGAATATACTTAAAATTTTGTAAAGTTTTTTACATTGAGTGTTAGAGTGTTAAAATTTTAAAAATAATTTCTTTGAAGTAACTTTATTATCCCTATATCAGATTCCAATTTTAAGAACATAACTTCTCAGAACTATTGTTCAAAGCTTGAAGAATAATAGGCCAGTGCCCTCCTTCATAGTAGAAGGACTGATGGGAAAGTAACTATGCAGTATCTCTCACTGTGTGTTCTGTTTTTCCTTACCGTGTGTAATCTGTGTGATGTGAAAAATCAGACTAACTCTTTTTACTGCCTGTAAGAAAAGCATGGACTGAGAACATCCAACTTTACAGTTTCTTCATCTTCTTGACTGTATTGTGTGATGCTGAACTTGAAATTTGTGCATATAAAAGAAATTACATTGTGTGAAAATGTGTACTAACCTAGAGTGAAAAGATGGGTAAGATATGTTTTGGGAACCATATTCTACAAGCTGCAGAGAGAACTATGTGCATACAAGTGGATTGGCTGCTTTAGTGCATCATACAGATCTTTTTCTGATCTTCCTGTGGCAGTACTAGAATGGCACATTCTGAGCACTTTTCTTGCAGAGAATGCAATAAAGACAGGCACAGTGTTTATCTTTGTGGAATGCTTCACTCTTCTTTGCGAAGAAAGAGTATATACTTTGAGCACTACTCGGTTTACAATGGAAGACTTATCCACAGCTTTCAGAACAAGATATTAGGTGCATGAAGAGATCAGATATATGCTGTTTTTAAAAGGCTTAGGTAATGAAGTAGAAGTAATGTGTAATAATTTACTCTGTCAAAAATAATGACAATTTTGCAACTTGAGCCTGACTAAAACAAGTGTTGGACACTCTGCTGCATGGAGGATGAAGTATCTGAAGATTATTGTTGAGTTAAATGGGCAGGTGAAACTGATCTGGAAACAAATACATTCCAGGAAATGTAGTTAAAGAAGAATGCAGCATGCAACATTTTCAAGAGCCCATCTAGGGACAGCTTTTAACAGTTGAGGCAAATCAGCATGCCGAGATATATCATCATTTTATACCTAGTTGAGCATGAAAGAAAAGAAAATGTGCTGTCCATGACTGGGACTTGCTCCACTTGTGATCGTATAGGGAATTGTGTGTGTTTATGTTATTGTCTTATTTTGTTTTACCACCTTGTTTTCTCTTTCTCTGAAATTGTTTTAACATTTATAATGTGATTAAATGTGGTCCTTTGAAAATGGCATTGCTTTTGTATTACTTCAGGAGCTTCACTAACATACTAATTTGATAATTGAAAGCTAAGTAGATATGGCCAGTTAGATGTCTTTCCTTTTGCCCATGCAAATAAGCTGTACTTGGGAATGCATTATTTTATGATTGTTACAGATGCTATCTGATAACCTTCAAGCCAATTGTGAAGGTAAAGTATAAATGATAGGCCTGTTCAGCCAAAACATACCACATGTCTTCTGTTCCACCATTTTTACTCCTTACCCAGTCCTCTTCACCTGAGGGCAGTAGAGGCCGGTAGCTTGAGTTGATAGAATTCAGTATTATAATAATAGACCGTGACTCAGCAGCATTGTTAACCATTGTGTAGCAGTGTTATCATCCATTATGATCATTGTGAAAATACAAGCATTCACAAATCATGACTTGTAGATTTATCAGTCACTGTGAGGCAGTGTTACCTTCAGCTATTTACTCATATTAACACAAAGATTCACGCCTTTGTCTACCCTTGCAGTGTTACCATTGATTATGACAATAATGAACACATAAAGTGAAAGTGAAAGTGAAATGATTCACAGCTTTGTCAACCATTGTTAAGCTCTATACTTTCCAGTATTATGCTGATATTAACAATGGCATTATTCTTAAGTCTGATCTATTATGTAACAAGCATAATTGGTAGGAAAGGCTGCTGCCTCTGAGGTGTACTGTGCTGACAATTTCAAATATTTATTTAAAATTGAAGTTTGCACATCAATGAAAACCTGAATTCCTATCTCTCGATTATGAAGCCATGCAGTCTTGTGGGTGGTTACAACCATTTCAGCTGATCATGCTGCCTCCATCTTCAGAGTAGAAGTGGTAATGGAGACAGTTATTCTGGCATACATTTATTATGTATGCTGAATTTTTAATTGATTTAATCACTGCCTTCAGGTGATTCTCTTTGGCATCCATTGTCACTTGGAAACGTGGTAGCGGCAGCATTGGTCAGCAGAAGAGCACAAGCCATTCCAACAAGTGTTGTGCTTCCCTGTGTTAAGCAAATGTTTTGAAATGCTTATAAGTTTGCAAAATAAGTTGCATATTCATTAGTAATATACAGGGAGAATGTTTCTTAGTCATTAGTATTATTTCCATTTTAACCTTTTGACTGCCAAGCCCTGCTAAGACACTATATGCTAGAAATGCCAAAGCTGCTTGGAGAAAGACTTTCCTCAAATGGCCTTCACAAAAGAACAAAACTATTTCATTTGGACAAGAACAAAAGTATTTTATATGGAAGCATGTTCCTTTAAACCTCAGAATGCCACACTTGATGCCATCTTTGACATAAATGATGTATTAATTGGTTAACAACAAGTGAATCTCTTTGGCTTGTAGTGATTTTGATGTAAGTACTTCCACTTTATCAGACTTACAGTCCCTGTTTAAGTTGCATACTTCACCTCTCAAACATTATAGAACAAAGAATAAACACGAGAGTTTATTTCTGGCGAGAGAAATGTTACAATTAATATAAGTGTCTATAAGGTCACCAGTTGTTTTATCACAGATGTGATCATGCTAGATGATTTGGAAAGTAGTAATTGTGTTGGGTGACATGCTTGGGGTTTACCTGAATTTGTGACAGACTGGCTTGTACTTCTTTAGCTTTCAGCAGTACATTTATAAATCTCCATGTTTTTATTTCATCACTGTCTTTTCCTTTGAACTTGAGCTTGTTATTGTTTCAGTGTGCATTTCCTTTGTTGTTTCTTTGATATAAGAGAAAGTGATGTTTTGTGTTATATACACTTTTTTTCACTTTCATTTTTTTTTTACAAGAGCATAACTTCTGATGGAAGTTAGAATTGCATAGTCATTTGCCTGTTTGACTAATATGTATTCTGAAGAGTTCATTGTTCTGGGATATAATGCCATGTTGCTGGATGAAAATCAGCCATTGTTTTGGAGGTACGTGTTGCCTTCATCTTCAGGGTTGAAGAGCAAGCCATGTAAGAAACCAGCATGAAGCTAGCAAGAAGCTGTGCTTACTCTTCAGCCATGAAGATGGAGGCAACGTGTTCCTCAAAAACATTGGTTGAGTTTCAGGGGATCACACGGCGTTATATCCCAGAAGATTGAAAACCACCACTGTGAGAATATAAAATCATAATGCTATTTTAATACTATGTATATGTGATTAAAACATTTTACATGCTGATGTTAACTTTTGTGTCAGTTATCAGTAATTAAATTTACCTTGATTTCTTTGTGTCATTTATAGACTATGTTTACAAAATTTGAAGCCACTTTCTTCAAAATAAACTCAAATGTCTGATGATACATAACAGTAATTCATTATCCTATTTCTGTGATATTAAATCACTGATCATAGACAATGTCCTCCTTTCATATACTCTCAGTTTCTTATGCTGGCATGGCATAAAGTCATTTAAAATATTTAACAAATTCTTGAATTTAGTTTATAGAAGTTTGGAGGTATCTTGAAGTAATAACATATTGAAATCCTGGTTTGCTCAAACTGAAATTGCCTTAGAGATTAGTGTAACAAAGGAGGAGTAGGGAACTGGTAGAACTTTAAGTGAATGAAGGTGTGTTCACTTTCTGAACTTAGTCTGCACTGTGGAATACTTCAGGGCATGGAGAATTATAATGTTAATAAACTTGTAGTTCTGGTATATAATGTCTGCTATAAGACTGATTTTACAGATCTTTTGTATTAATTTACTGAATTCATAGACTAAACATATGTATGCTTAAAGTTTCATGTTGTATTATCATCACTGCAAACCCTTCAACAGATTCATATTTCTCCATAGTACTTTGAACCAAATTGATCATCACTTAAACAAAAATAAATCACCATTGGGGTCCATTTTCTTCTGTCTGCTCCCAGTTTGTTTCAATGCTACATTTTCTGACATGGAAACCTCAAAGTCTCCCAATATGAAAATTGAAATTCCAGTCATCTGTTGGTATGATGGTTTACAGAAGATGTATGAACAGTAAACAATACTTTATATTGAATTTTCTGAGTGAGAAATGTATAAGATGAGTCATTATGGATCTCTCTTTAGGTTTGGAACAGCTTCTTCCTTTTCACCTATTATCATTGGTTTGACTGTCCTGTTATGGTGTCATGCTGTCATTGTGTTATGCAGAGATTAATGGGTCACTGTGTTAGTTATTTTATGTTCAGTTTGTTTCTTTCCCACCTCAAGAATTCTTCTGTTTCCCTAATTCCTCTTATGTGATGGTAAAGCACTTTTTTTGGTTGAATGTTATTAAATTATTTTATTTATAAGGATGACCTGTAAAGCTGTTGTTTTAAAATAAAATGAAAATGAGACACATATTAACTTTAAAGTTAACTTTTGCAATTTTAAGTGTCTGAAAGATAATAGATGGATCATGAGCACTTACTAATGTTGTAAGCTGAAGTCATAAAGCTGTAACTTGCTGTTGTGGCAGAATCGTGAGGACCGCCGTGGTGACTTCCATCGAATGGACTCATCACCAGGCCAACTTGGGACACCTGGATCCCGGACTAGCTCAGTTTTGCCCGATTTACTTACACAGGTAAGTTGCATAAACTGCACTACTTATTGCATGTTTTTGCTTTTCCGTACAAGTTGACATATTGATTATCCCTACTGCTGCAATGTTTGACTGAAGTCAACTCAAGCATCCATTACTATATAATGCGATGGTCGAATTTAGTCCACATCAGAAATAATCACCTCCTTTTGCTGTATTATTTGACTTCATTCACTGGGCTGTGAAAATGCATTTTTGTTCCTTTTTCACATTCTTACCTTAAAATTGCATTATGTTAGGAAAATAGTGAGAAGATAATATGCAATGAAAGGGTTAAGGGGTTCTCTTTGGCTGGCCATTTTGTTTTTTACTCTTTGGGGGGGGGGGAATGTAATTTTACAGAAAAATAAATCATTACTCCTAAACTAATCCACATGCCTTTTGATTTGAAAACTGGAATGTCCAGAAAATATTTGGTGTTACATGTACACTCTCACCAGTGTGTTGTTGCTGTTACTAAACATAACACATCCTACCATTTCTTGACACTGGCCCCGCTATATAGGTGTAAAACTGATGATATATTTCTGCAGAAATTAAATATATTGTGACATATAGACCCATTGCTATGGAATTAGTGACAGACATGTTTCCCTAGAGTTGGATACTTAGAAACCAACTTCTTATGGAACACATTTCCTGGTACACAAAAGTTAAAAATGAATCCATGGAGATAGATTCTTGGAAATTAACATTTCGCTGTAGGATCAACAGATATTTACATGGATACCAATATGCTGTATTGGAGACCATTCAGATTGGAATGAAGTCAGTTGTAGTTCAGATCAAAATGGAGAGAAACCAGAATCTAGCCAGTTGTAGTCCAGTGAGAATGGAGAAAGTCCTAGGCAGTCATTTAGTGTGATTATTGCAAGTCGCGGTAGCGTAGTTGGTTGAGGGACCATGCTACAAGCTGGAAGATCGCGGGCTCACGTCCAGATGAGGTCGTGGGATTTTTCCAATTGACCTAATCATACCAGCCACACTAGGCCCCTGGGGTTTACTCAGACTCTTAACAGAAATGAGTACCAGGAATTAATTAAATAATTTTCCTGGTGAGTAAAGCGTGGCTGGCGTGTAAGGCTGAGAGCCTTACCGCCATCTTTGAGCCGATTGTCTAGATAATGTGGGACCCTCAACATCTCACATCCCTATGGGCCTTCATGGCCTGTTACAGGGTTAGCTTTACATTCTTTATTGCAAGTCCTTGTGATTATGAGTGATTATAAAGGAGTGATCAGTAAATCTGATCCAAACCTGTTGTTATTATCCATGACAGTAAAATGTGACAATATCTCAGTTATTTGAATCTGGAGTTTCTTACTGTATTGCATGCATAGGACTTCTTTTCTGTGCCACCATCCTAACTTTCTCCAAGTTTAATTTCAGTAATTCTGCTCTTGCATGCCATTTGTATGAGATATATTGGAAATAGTAAAATGTACACAGTGTCTGTATCAATTTGTAAAAGAAAGAGTAGTGGTATCTATTGTCAGTGATTTGGACACAATTATAGACACCTGATGCAAATTTGTACAATGTGACACCGGACTCATGACTGAGATGGTAGGACAGTAATTCAGCTTTGCCCCTGACCACTTCCATCTCATTATAGAGTGTACCTATCCTGGATGAGGTTTGAGGTTTTCACATTGGTAAAATTTAAGATCATGATCATCTTTGTTATAATACAATGCATTTTTATGTTAAAGGTTGGTTTATTTAATGAAGCTTGTGGTGGCATCAAATGAAAGGGATGGTAAATGAATAATGAATTGGTAAGGATGTGGATGGAAGCATTTACAGCCTATTTTGGGGTACTGTCCCAGAATTTTGGAGGGACTTTGCCTATATAGAACTTGTCAGGATAGTTGGTGTCCTGGCTGAGATTCAATCCAGGCACCTTCCAATATCAGTGAGAAGAATCACCACCTATGCCAATGTGCTTGGTGACACCATTTAGAGTAGTAGTTAGTTACCAGTGTTTTAAAAGGACATGCTATATTCATCTACAGGGTAAATATGTATAACCACCTGCCAAACTGTGAAGCATTATAATTCACAAGACAGCAATCTTACACAATAATGTGTTAAGTATGCAATGTATTTCCAGATCTAAAGGCTTGTGACAGGGGTATGTTTTAAATCACACCTCTGCTGGACATTTTCTGTTTTCCAATTTTTGGTTATAAACATTGGTTTCATAAACTGGCTCTGCTTCTGTTAACAAGTAAAGTGTAAAACTTAATTCTGTTAGGTCCATTAGATGTTGCTAATTTCTGTCCCCCAATCTGCAATAAAATTATCTCTATATCAGTTTAAATTATTTCCAGTTTAATTATAATAAGTGATAAACCACAAGAAATTTTATTTTCAGTGTAAAAAATAATGTATTCTTCCAGTGTATTTATTTCCACTATTATGTTATTTGTTTATAGACTGCCTCAAGCCCTGGTACTCCAAATCAGAGACAGGACAAGTCAACCAGTGAAGAGGTAAGGCTTTTATCATGTGTACATTCCTTGTAATGAACTGAACAAGATTTGTGACGAAGTTGAACAGTGAAACAGTACTGACATTTCTTAAAAGAGGTAAATACGTCATGGAAAGTGGTTAATTTATTACACGACAGTTGTGTTTATACGCTGGTAATTATCTGAGATGTTGACATTCTTTGAGTTAACTGTATACCCACTTTCATGTGATTCTCATTATGATAACACACACAATTTGTCAGTGTCATGACAACCAGTCACCTGAAGATTGTGTAGAGCTGGTTTCCAAAATGTCATTATGTTAAGTACACTTCAGACAATTAAAAGTGACCAACATAATTACAATGTGAATTCATGAATTGTCACAGCCCCACAGAAGTTACTCCTTCATTGACTTTTGGAGGTGTTTGATGGTTATATTGTAACTGTATTAGAGAAGATGAATAATGATTTAAAGTCTCAATAATAATGGAGCAGATTTTACTGATCTGTAATTACAGCCCCTAATTATATATTTGCTTTGATGTGGGGAAACATGGGACAGGTTGAGCACAGGTTTCCTAAACAAAGTTTGTTTCAGTTTTATTCAAGACAGGATATTTTATCCCAAAGGAAAGTGTAATGATCCTACCCTATTCAGATTCATTTACAGTGTTTTTAAGTAAGAAAGCAAAACTTCTTGCTTTTAGTGATAAATGTTAGCATCTTTCTTGATGATGACTAATAAATTATTTAATTTATAATAATGGGAAAGCAGTATTTATGCGTAATTTTTTAATCTTAGACACAAGAAATGCTGAGTATATTCTCTTTTACTGCATTCTGGCATGAAGTACAAGAAATCTTGGCTCTTGAAGAGGTTTGAATCCTAGTCAGGGCACAGAATCATGACCCATCAATGCACTGTACAAGGCCTGTACCAAAGAGCAAAGAATTAAAACTTTAAACTGGAAGAAATAAGTACATAAATTGATTTAGTTGGTTTGTTGTGAAATTAAGATATTCAGTTGGATTCATAGATGAAAAAGGGCAGGTATTTATTTATGGAACAAATACGAGTATAGTTTTGTAATCAGTGTGTACATGCATTTTTATCACTTTTATAAACAAATTTAACAAGAAAGGAGATGACCATTCCACACAGTCCAGGCTGTTAGGTGATGGCCACTAACTTGTTGGCCCAGGTTCAGTTCTGTTACCATATGTGGTTTATGATGAACAGAGTGGTGCTGGGAAGAATACTTACGTTCTCTTTTGTCAGTCATCATAGTCATCTATCAGCACCCTAGAGTTGTGTGGTAGTCACACACACCACTGTGTCACAGCCCTAGTTTAGGCTTCATCTCTGACCTGCACTCCCAGTAAAGTAGTTTAGTTCAGTGTTTAAGAGAATAATATGTGTAAAAGGGAATATGAAGTGGACTTGAACATTTAAGTTTGTGCTGTGTACATGTATATTTAAAAGTGTTAAATTTACATGCACTTTTTGTTTGAATATTCAATTTTTTGTTTTGTTTCTTTTTGCTTGCATGATTCATTGCAAGATGTCATGCTTTATTGCATGACAGCTTCAGTGCCGGTTTTACCTGTTTGTGTTCTTCAGAAGTGCATTTTATACTCTTAAAAGTATTGCTTGGACAAATCTCCACAGCACTGATTTTGAAATGCTCTTGCAGCACTTTTCAAGATGTGGCAATGTTATTGGCACTGAAATGTGCAGTTTTTATTTCTTGAGCATTTTAATGTATGCAAGTAGCCTGTGACAGGCCTGCACAATTTTTGGGTGTCAGGTCACCATGGCAACTAAATTTCTTGCCTTTTACATTACTCTTAGTGCATAATCTATTTAAAGTAACAAGGAAAATAATTTTCCCCCTATTTTATGCATTTTACGTCTTTACCTTCTTCCCTTCTTTTTCTCTTATTGCTTTCCCATCCCCCCCTCTTTTTTATTCATCCTATAGTCATTCTTTTCCCCATTTTTCCATTTGTCTGTCCCCTTCATAACTTTATCTCATTTCTTCTGTATTTCTTTCCCATCCCTTTTATTTGTTTGCCCTGTCATCATTTCCTTCACCTTCCTTCCTCCCTCTCCAGCATGTTAAAACATTTACCTCAACTTCATTCTTGTGTTCTTTTTTGCCTTTCCTGCCTTTATCTCATTCCTCTTAATTATATAATAATAATTAACACTGTCCAGTATGATTCAATTTGTAGATATTTATTGCCTTTACATGTTTCAGTCAGCTGACGATCTTCAGAAGGCGTGAGATTAACATGTTCAAAAGCTGCTATTACAAATTTCATAATACAGTGGAACCTCGCTTAAGGAGCATAATTCGTTCCAGAATCTTACTCGTAATGCGAAACACTCGTTAACCGAAACAGTTTTTCCCGTATAAAGTAATGTAAAATATGATATTGCGTTCCATGCTGAAAAAAATACTCAAAAAAATTTATGTATAACGTTTATTCAAAGAAAATTATATATACATTGTTAAGGAGGGTGAATCATCTTCATCTTTTCTTCTATGTGGAATGAACCAACCTGGAATGCTAATTCGATTTGCAGAAAAAAAATCGAAATAATTAGTTTATTATTTATGATACATATCTAATTCTTTTTTACTAGAAAGCTGTCTAGAGACATTTGATTTTGTCGACGCTTCAAAATTTGGTGAAAATGCGCACAGCATTATCATTAAATAAATTTGTAGCACGCATTGTCACTACCTTATTAGGGTGATGCTTCTCAATGTACAATGCAACAGTTTCCCATGCTTTCAGCATTTCTCTTATTGCGCCAGAAGATTGTTGCTTTGCTGTTACCTCCTCCTCTGACAAACTCTCCTCCACAACTTCTTGCTGTGAAACACAATGCAACTCCAAATTGTGCAGATCATTGATGTAGACCGATTGTATGTGCATGCTAGATCAGCCATGCTCACACCTCGTTCTCACTTTTCAATGATTTTACGTTTCTTTTCTACTGATATTTTTATTCTCTTACGGCTGTCTTTTTGCGGCTTTTTCTTCAGGGACATTTTTGCAAGGGTTATTGAATTTTGCACAAAAAAAGAATCACAAATAATATGTCTGAGCACAGGTTTGGAAAAATGTGTGATCACAAGCGACACTAAGAGCTAGCGGAACGAGTGCTAAACACAGACTGATGTAGCAAGCGCACAATCCGGGACTTCCCCTCTCGTCACTCGTTGTGAAACGAATGTGAAACATCGCTGTTAAGCAAGTCATTTTTTTGCAATTTGTTTTGCTCGTTACGCGAATTACTCGTTATGAGAGGTGCTCGTTAAGTGAGGTTCCACTGTAGTAGTTTCTGAACATGTTGATCTTATATCTTCTGAAGATGGTCAGCTGACCTTTCATGTAAAGGCAATAGATATCTATACATATAATCACACTGAATGGTGTTAACAGTTATTCTATAATTTATAGTCTCCAGTGTCAACTAGTGATGAGAGATTGAAATATGTCCACGGAAACACAATACAAACTTTGTCGATAAATAATATATCAACATTTGTTCATGGAAGCACAGCCACCATGTCAATAATATATCGACATTTGACTGGAAAGGGTTAAGGCCCCTTCTTTTCCCATCTTTTTAACTTTGCTTCATATTGTCACTTCTCTGCCCATGTCCTAGCAGTGACAGAAGTTCCTGTATCCTAACAGATGTGTTGGGGTTCCTTTTTAGTGTGAATGGACCTGGCAGCTATTCATAGGCTTAGATGTCTCAGTTCAAGTTTGCCCTTTCTTAATTAAAGTAATCAGATTTTTTACCTGAAGTTTGTTTTTTATTCTGGCTGCTAGATTTGTATAAATTTGTGCAGGCCTGGCCCATATCACAAGTAAATTCAAGAATGCTAAAGTTGTACATTATGATTTATTGCATTTCTCTTTCAGTACTTCAGTGTGTTTGCTCCCTTTTTAGCATGCTATTTCATTGCATAATTTTATTTGAATAATGCTGATTTGAAAAATTGTTCAGAAAATCTCCTCAACACATTAATGATTATGCTAAAATACGGTAGATCCGTAATTATTATCTTACTGAATATGAAAGTCTTTGCCATATAGGGTACCTTCTCAAATGAGCATGAAATTATTGTTTCCCCTTCATTAGTACCATTCATTGCATTTGTGTCACATACAAATATCCAAATAAACACTTAAATTGTTACTTTTAGAAATGGCTAGAGTTGATGTCATTGACTACAAACATTTTATGCAGAGTGCTGTCTTCTGGGATATAATGCCATGTAGTCCATTGAAAGTTAGCTGAAATTACAGAGGAACATATCGCTTCCGCCTTCAGGGTCCAATAATCTGAACAAGATACCAACATGAAAGCAGGTGGCTTTGGCTTGCCACTTGCTTTCATGCTGGTATCTTGCTCACCATATTCAGTCCTGAAGCTGGAGGTGGTATGTCCTTCAAAATGTTGGTTGACTTTCAACAGACTACATAGCACTGTATTCCAGAAGTTAGTACTCGTCATAACCCTTTCTGTGAGAACCTCAAATCCTACATTTGATGGAAAGCCAATCCCAAGCCATAGTCACTGTACACGCAGTTATATCTTCCAATGACAAACAGTATGCTTCTACACCTGACTCCAAAATTTGTATGAAGATGCTGTTGGGCAGGCCAAGGCTTGGTTTTACATAGCATGATAACTGTGAGGATTCATTTTTATGAGTATATTTGTTTTATTATACAGACATTGCATTGATCAGATTTTGATAGATGGGTGGTGACATTCTTGATGTCTGATCTTTAAGAGCTGACTATAATACCAATCACTATGTGGTAACTTTCCAAATTTAAGGGAAGAATGTCAGTAAGGAAGCAAACAATGCAGACGTCTGATATGGAGATAATTCAATTTTGAGAAATTAAGTGGGGTGGAAGATAAAGAACAGTGAAAATCTCAAACAGGTTTGCAGCTTTGGAAAACTAAATTCAAAACTGTTGAA